AAAGGCACGAGAAAGATTAGTCGGTAAAATAAGATTTTTATGCTAAATCATACTGTGGAAAAAAATGAAATATATAGGAGTTCTGTTCTGATCTGGATGAAACACACGATAGATTATAGTCTGGAATATCACATAGGCTACTTTTTATCCTGGAAAAATGTACAGTTCCCGTGGGATAGATTTGTTTTTATTATTCAAATATAGCTTTTGTACAAATATATTAAATTATATTGTTATCTCAATGTATGTGTATATTGATCCTTCTCCGCACTTAAACGGCTGAATAGATTAGGATGAAATTTAATAAACAGATAGACTCTGAACTGCAGTAACACATTTTTGTTACTGTTAGTCTTAAAAGTGCCAAAAGTCACTAAAGTATTTCAGACATATTTTCACATTTTAAACATTCAACACACACCACACAAATGACTTATCATGTTAATATGTTAAATGTTAATTAACCAATTTAATAATATGAATTACCCATGAATACCTAAATAATTAAAGCAGAAAAATTTATTACATAAAATCATATTGTTTAAAACTAGGTACTTAAATAAAAAAAATATATAAACTACTATATTAAAAATTTGGCTTAAGTCATTATTTTTAGTGGTCTAACTTTAACTACTGCTATATTTAACTTTTATGGCGGTACTTGTAAAAAATATTAATAATGTAGAATATCAATGTTTAAAGTATAACAGACCTTGTAATGTCATTTAATTATTGTGTGGCTTTTTGTTAAAAATATGAGTGATAATGTTTAATGATAATTTAGTGACAATCCTTTTGTATCATAGAGGAAGGAACTGTCGTCTGTAATACAGGCTCGGCCTAGTACAGTCGGCAGTGACAAACCGATGTAAGTAGCATAATTTGTAATAAGCTTTATTTTGCGCTTAGTGTAAATTTAATGTCAAAACTTATTGCTAATAAACTTTTATTATTATTATTATTATAAAGTTTTTACTAATCTTTAATCAATTTACTCCTATTATCATACGTAAAAATCTATTATTGGTGGTCTTTATTGACGCAATAGAACTCAAAATAATTATTTTTAGAATTTTTGTCTGTATGTGCGTTTGTGCGCGCTAATCTCAGAAACGACTTAACCGATTTCGGTGCAGTTTTCACTAAGTTATTGTGGTTATCTTCACTTAATATTTAGTATTTGTTTTATTTCAATCGGTTCATAAATTTCTCACAATATTTCATCATATCAGTTATCAACTTTCCTTAAAGTGAATAAGAAATCGATATAAATAAAGTAATGTATTAAGTATAATTTCGTATTTCACATGTTTGGCACAATTTTTAGTGATCCTATTTGCTGTGTCAGCGGTCGCGGGTTCGATTCCCGCTAGGAGCATTCATTTGCGTGATGAGCACGAATATTTGTACTTTATTCACGGGTGTTTATGATGATGATGTTCTCCTAGCCGATTCCGGCTACGGCGGCCAATCTCATTGAGACTAGCCAACTGCGCAGAAGACATTATAGTGCACAAGTGTACGCGCAGACATAAGTGCACTCTCTATTCCTGTCACTCCCATACTCCGGTGGGATGACTGCTCGATACGACCAGTGAGAGTTAAGGCGCAGGACCGACGGCTTTACGTGCTCTCCGAGGCACGGGGGTGAAGCACCGCCAACTTCCCAACTCCGAGCTGTTCCTGAGACTTACAATACAGAAAGACTCAATAACTAAACGTGGCCCGACCCGGGACTTGAACCCAGGACCTCCGAGTGTGCAGCCGTACATGCTAGCCACTACACCACCGAGGCAGTTAATATTTAAAATATGTATGTATTTAAAGTTATAAATGTGTATTGTATCAACTTTCTGGTATCCATAACACAAACCTCGTAGCTTACCATGGAACTAGATGGTGCTGTGTGTTAATGTCCCAACATATTTATTTATTTTATAATCTCCCCACCCGTAACTAGCCAAAACGGTTCCTTCATTCGTCAATTACCCATTGTATGTCACACATAAGTACTTTTACTTTTCGATCTTAATTTTTTTTGAAAGCTTTTAAATAATCACAATCACTACTGAGCACAATCCATGACTATATCCATATTACTTATTACTTACTAATATTATAAATGTGAACGTATGTTTATTTGTCTATCTTTCACGTCGAGACAAAGTGGCGGATTGGCGTGATTTTTTATGTGGAGATAGTAGGAGGGTTGGAAAGTGACATAGGCTACTTTTTACTGCGGGCAATTATCTCATTCCTGCGAGAAAACACGTTATAATTCAACCCAAAAAAAATATTTATAATCAGAAATACTTAATATGTCTTCCTCATAACCCCTAAACAACTGTCAGTTCTTATCAAAAACAATTTACTAGCCATTTCTAAAAACAACACAATATTTAAACTATTATTCCCAGTAGTACAAATGCTCGTTGGATAAAATGAAGGCTGTATATCGGAGATGCATTTTCAATGTCGGCTATTCAGATTCGCCGTCAGCTAACGTAACAGCTTTTATTACTACAACTCTGTAGTTGAAGCATAGAAGCTATAATATTGCGGTTTACATAATATTGATATAGAACTTAATAGTGCTAAAATAATTTAATTATTTTATGTATTATATTATAATTTTTCTTTTGTCTGGTGGAGGTTCTGGATTCGAGTCCCGGGTAGGGTCAAGTTTAATTACTGAGTTTTTCTGATAAGATATTCTCAATAGTAACCCGGTATTGGGAAGTTGACGGTGTTTCATCCCCGTGCCGCGGAGAGCACGTAAAGCCGTCGGTCCTGTGCCTAAACTCTCTACGGCCGTGTGGAATTATCGTTCCATCGGACCATCGGACTCTGAGAGGAATAGGAATAGAGAATGCAATTGTGTCTGTGCGTACACTATAGTATCTTCTGCGCATCTGAGAACAACATTATTACTTTACAAAAAACCTATTCTAAAACTTTCTATAATGTGCTATGAGAGAGACCTGTCAGTTGACTAAAATTGATTGACTGACCTCTAGATGGAACTGATCTGATTCAACATCTGGATGAGTGAAAGAATTTTGAAGGAAAGCAAATACAGAAGACACGTTATTAGGAATCATCAATTCTCTGTATTTTCTCTAATCTATAAAGCAAAATAATATAAGGAAAAATGAAAAGAAACAGTATACATAATTCGTATAAACATACTTCGTTTTCCCTTTTCTAACGCCAGACATAGCCATATTTGATTTACTAATACATACAATATTAATATATATATATATGTGTATAATGATGGCCTTAAACAAGAAATTCACCATAACTTCGCTTAGGTGTAAAGTGATAGGATAATAGTATATAAAAAATTCTAAGCTTTTCTAATACAACGCGCATTACAAACAAACATAGAGACCATAAGAAACATACATAAATATGAATTAACTGACTTCCAAAAAGGAAGAGGCTCTAGTTGATCTGTATGTATCTTTTTTTTTTTGTATTTTCACCTATTTTGCTAATTTAAACTGCATTCTATTAAGGTAGGTCCCGAGTTGATCCCATAAACTTCTTTGACATAGAGTTTTTATTTTTCAATAAAACCAAGAATGTTTGTAAAGTGCCTACCACACATACACAGCAGCAAATATTGCATTTTCCAATAATGTTGCTAGTATATTTTTCTATTTAAAATTAAAATGATTCTAGACTCGTTTCGAAGAATCATACTTCATTATATATTTATGAAGACTCACAACGACCACAGTAATTCCATTTTAATGTCACTTTAAAGCAAGTCACGTCTGAAATAGACCTTATATTTAATTTAAAGCATTTTGTGATATTAAAATCTTAATGACATAAATGGTGGTAAGATAATTTGATGTAAAATATGTTTCTATTGTTTTGTATTGTACTAACTTCTTATTGCGTATAAACTTAAAAATATATATTCCATTAATATTATATATGCGAAAGTTTGGATGGATGGATGTTTGTTACTCAAGCCAGAACGGTTGAACGGATCTGGAAGAAATTTTGCACAGAGATAGATTAGTTTGGAATAGCACATAAGTTACTTTTTATCCCGGAAAAATGTACGGTTCCCGTGGGATAGATTTGTATATTATGTTTTTCACTAAGGACGAAACCGAGCGAAGCGAGGGTGAGTCGCTAGTTAGAATATAAATAATATGATTACATATTTGTGTAATGGGACTACGCGGATGTTTAGAGTACCTAAGCTTAGATTATGAAAAAGTCAGATTTTTATGATAAATAAGAAAATGCTATGTAATCTGTGTTCCACTGGTATATTTATAGGCTATTATCAAGATAATTGAATTGATTAATTCTTTATTATAGATTTTAGTAAATTATTAAAAGATGATTTTCTAATTCATTTAACTATTAACGTTCTTACTATGTACATTCTTTAGTTACACTGGTTTAAAATGAATCCCAAATCATATATCATTTTAAACTTAATCTTTAAGTCTAATCTTTATCTAAATCTTTAAAGCTTTTCAGTATAGTACTTATCACATTTTCCAATAACGCTAGCTAGTGTTGTACTGGTTTAAAATGAGTCAGAACATATATTATAAATGTGAAAGTGTGTTAGCTTGTTTGTATGTTTGTCTTTCTTTCACGTCGAAACGGAGTGACGGATTGACGTGATTTTGTATGTGGAGATAGATGAAGGGCTGGAGAGTGATATAGGCTACTTACTTTTTGTCGCGGGAGATAATCTCATTCCCACGGGAAAACATGTTATAATACAACCCAAAAATTTATTATGATCAGAATTACTTGAAACTGGGTATTAATGCTCTTCAATACAATTAAATTAATACGTGTATTAGCATTTTTTGAAATTCATCTCATAAGGGGGTAAAATAGGGGGTGAAAGTTTGTACATATAAAACCTATTTTTTAGAGTTTTTCTGTAGTTTTAGCGCGAGCAAAGCCGCGGATTTCGCTAGTATTATATATTTTCAAGCGAAACGGTTGTCTAACAGATGGTTGATGTTGCAGTGGCGAGTCCACCGGGCGGCGCGGGCGCTGCAGAGCCCCGGCCGCCGCCGCCCGCACCACGCAACGGATCACCCAGTAAGCACGGCTCTGACTGTGGCTGCTTAGATTTTATTTTCAGTAGCTAAACAGCATTCTTGAAACTTCAGTTTGATTAACAAAATTAATTTTCTTTATTTAAATTAACAAATAATATACATAGGTATTCGATTAACTAATAATAGTTTCTCTAAATAACAAATATTTAAACAGTCAAGGCGCTATGAGATTTATTTATAGACGTAAGCAAAGAAAAAGCTCAATTTCACAGAAAAAACCAATATTATCTGTAGTCGTTGAAAACAAATTACTTGTTAAGATGAGGATATACGAGAGCGAGAGACCTTGGTTTCATAAGGACTAGTGCGGGCGTAAGGGGTGCCTTATTTTTTTATCGTTGATTGTTATATTTGCTGTGTACTATACAGAATAAAATAATAAATACGCTCTAAATTAACGAAAATATTGCCTTAAAATAAAATAAATGAAACCTTCATATATCCTTAAAACATCTTTAGTGTATGTTATTTATAAAAAAGCTACTTTAGCATAAAATCACAGCAGCCACTAAGTCCATTCGTGCACTTTTGAATGCATTTCCTGCGTTTCCACCTTCGATGCTTGATAATCCCAAACAATTTTTCGGATCCGTTTACAGTAAAATGGCGATATTTTGTAAAAACAGATATACTTTTAATGAATTGTTTCTTAAGGTAATATTACCAAATCGCCTACTTTCTTATGATAAAATCAGTTGGCACACTTTGAAGCCGTTAACAAGAGAATTTAATTGAATGATAAAATCAAATTAAAATCTAAAGTAAGTAACTAATATTATAATAAAAAAAAATAAACAGCGTAGAATAACTCGTAATATATGTAACTTACTATATATATATATTAATATGAGTCTTCTTAAAGAAATAGCCTACCCAACTGAAACAACCGTGTTACAGCTGACCTAGCAAAAGGAAAAACGCAATTTATCCGAAAAATTGTTTTTACTTAACAACTAAGTGTTTTCTTTTAAGAGCATGACGTGTAAATAAGTTTATTCAGAAGCTCGGTTTTTTTTTCGAAATTCAATGAATATAATAAATATTCTGTAGAAGCTTTATTGCAATTTCTCTCTAAACTCCTTCTTTAATGTCTGTCTTGTTTTGTTTAATTATTGTAACATAATATTTGGATGAGAATATAAAAATATTACTTAAATGGTTCAAGCATGAAATGTTTTATATGAATGTTGCATGTATGTTTTAATTTAAGTATTTTAATGAAATGTGCAATTGCTAATACTCAGAGCCTACACGCACTAGGCGACCACAGCTGAGATTATGGTCATGGTTGCGTGTTGGTCCTATAGTTCACGGTACCTACCGATTTTAAAATAATGTAAGTAACAAAAGCATTAAATATAAAAGTAGAATGTGGTCGCTGGTGACCGTAGTCGTGGTCGCGGACCACGGTCTGCTTGTGCACGGGCAGGGCTAGTATTTCTTTACGTACTTATATACATATTCGTATATATGGTATACAGTCGTATATAGTTTTTGTTGTTCATGATTAGAAAGACGTAATTATATAAAACTTTTAAACAAAAAATAAAAACCAACTTCCAGGTACTAAAATGTCAAAAACAACTAAATGGCGGTTATCATTTAGAATAGATACCTAATCAGATATTTACGAAGTCGGTGCCAGCCGATGCAAAGCAAATCTAATATATTTCGATACGTAAAATACATATTTACCTATTAGATATTCATATCTTAAAATATTGAATCAATCAGTTATTTATTCTTTTTCAATGTCTGCCATTGAAAAAGAATAAATAACTGATTGATGTTCTCCTGACCGATTCCGGCCACGGCGGCCAATCTCATTGAGACTAGCCAATTGCGCAGGAGATATTATAGTGCACAAGTGTACGCGCAAACACAGGTGCACTCTCTATTCCTGTCACTCTCATACTCCGGTGGGACGACTACTCGACACGACCGGTGAGAGCTAAGGCGCAGGACCGACGGCTTTACGTGCTCTCCGAGGCACGGGAGTGAAACACTGCTAACTTCCCAACTCTGGGTTGTTACTGAGGCTTACTATACAGAAAGATTCAATAACTAAACTTGGCCCGACCCGGGACTCGAACCCAGAACCTCCGGATGTTCAGCCGTACATGCTAGCCACTACACCACCGAGGCAGTGACTGATTGGTGTTTTTTGAAGTACTTTTTTATGTTTTTATTTTTCTATTAGTGCAGACATAGTAGTAGCAATGTGAGAAGAAAGTGTTTAAAAAATTCAGTAGGTGAAAAATCATATTTTCTACACTTATGTGTGGTCATTTTTCAAATTTAAACGAACCAACTTTGAGATATACTCGCTCTAATAAAAAAGTAAAGAATCATAGAAATCGGACTACCCTATAAACAGTTATGCGAGGTCAAACATAAACAAAATGTACGTGTCGAATGGAGAACCTAACTATGACACAAAATTTTTCATAAACCATTTTCATCTTTCAATAAATGTAGTTTATAAGCCATTATTTATTCGGTGCGAATCGAGGACTTGTCGTTTTGAGATAGATTTTATTTTATTCCTTTGGGATCTAAAGTGACCAAGAGAAAGTGTTTCAATCTAATACAGGGTCACAGAAAAGGGTCACGAGTCACGACAATATAAGGAAAAAATATATAGAGCTAAGTTAAGTAAAATCATAATGGTATATAGCTATACATATAATAAAATTGTAACCAAGCCGAATCTGTACATTAAATATTTTTTGGAAAATCTTACTGAAATAAACATTATTATCGACACAGGTGCCGAATCTATAGTTTTTAGAATTTTTGTCTGTCTGTCTGTTACCGCATCACAAAAAAACCACTGGAGGGATTTTGATGAAATTTGGTATGATGATAGCTGGTTATCCGGATCAACATATAGGATACTTTTTACCGCGGGAAAATATCTCATTTCTAAGAAAAAATGCAAAAACTGCAATTTAAGAGTATACTAATCTGTAAAACCTAAGAATTTGGTTTTTGGTCATCTGAACGCGGGCGGAGCCACGGGCAATGCTAGTTACATATAAAAAACGAAAATGCTTTCCTTTCTGGAAAACACCGAGTGAAGTCAAAAGCTACGTTTACAATTTAAAGGACAAATTCGAAAGCACATTTGTTAGAACGTCATTTTATACATATTTTACTTCCTTAGTTTTCATGCAGTAAGACATACTTGTAGAGATAGCGTATGCCATAATATTATGGTTTTATCATTATATTTTTGAATAGGGGAGATAACGGGGATTATAAAAATATAAAATAATTGGAGTAAAAAATAGATAGAAGTTATAAAGACTAAATTTTATCCAAATCTGTCCAGCAATTTCATTTCACTAAAAAACACACAAACATACAAATTAATACTTTCTTAGATTTACGCGAATGTTTGTTTGTTCGCATTTAAATAGTCCGACTATTATCTCCATACAAAATTTCATGATGTCAATTGTCTCCATAGAAAATTGTAGTAATGCTGGGTACGTAGATTGGACAATCTACAAACCTAGTGTTCCTAGAAAATAGAAGTAGATTTCATTGCCATGGAAACGGAGAACAACGTACAATGAGTTGAAATGAGAGTAGTTCTTATAAAAACAATTTTATGGTACGCTGCCTCTCTTGGTATTACAGCTGTAGGCGTTCGCGATCTTAACGTTTATCTCCTGGTCGTGAACTCAATTTAATGTATTGAATATCTAATAATTACAATAACATTAAATAAAATAGTTATTTATAAACGATTGGTAAAAGATGGGAATAATGTGTTCGAGAATTTATGTCACATGTACATATGTAAGCTGTCTTCTAAATAATCTAAATAAGCTAAAATCTAAATAATCTGCTAAAATATCTAAACAAGGTAGTTTCATACAAATTTTCGTCCCATATTTTACCCCCTTATAGGATGAATTTCGAAAAATGCTAAAACACGTATTTATTTAATTTCATTGAAAACCATTAATAACAATTTATTTTTGTATTGTATTATAACGTGTTTTTCCGTGGGAATTAGATAATGTCACGCGGTAAAAAGAAATCTATGTCACTCTCCAGCCCTCCAGCTATTTCCACACAAAAAATCACGCCAATCCGTCCCTCCGTTTCAGCGTGAAAGAAGGACAAACAAACAAATAAACAAACAAACAAACACACTTTCACATTTATAATATTTGTATGAATTTTAAAATTTTAAAACAACATGGTTTAAGCAATAATACAATTACCGCTGAATGCTTGAAATATCGATTTTTTTTATGTGCATAGATAATTACTTTAATTTAAATATATTTACGAGTACTTTAAAAAGTCCCCTTAAAATTCACCCACACTTTGCCATACAAAGCTCTTATTCAGCTTAATAGTGATATGAAAAATAATACGTTTCAGGAGTTAGACAGCCTGTAAAAGGATAGACAAATAACTAAAATTTAAACTCAAATGGGCTGAAAAGACCATGTTGTACGTCCCGAATGAAAATCAAATCCAAGACCCTTGAAGCAGTTAACAATACCATCCTATAATACACCGAAAACAACGTTATTAACGAAAGTTTAATTAAATTTATATTTTATAGGAAAGAATTTTAAAGTTTTTATCTCAACTGTACCTACTTGCATTTTATTATTTTTGCCGGCGCGGTTGTTCCCAACGGCTGACAGCGTTTGTAGCTAGCTCGTGACCCGTATTGTAATCACCAACAACGCACGGTGTTACTTTTATTCAAGTTATTTAATTTCATTTTTAACGGCTTTCCTATGAACGCTTTTTGATTAAATTTTAAAAATATCGATGCCAAAAACTTCACGCCCACTTCTAAGATACTCGTATAAACATTTTTTTAATTTATTTTATTCCATACATGTTATAGACATTTTTTTATGTGTAGGCCATTTTGGTTAGTCTGGCAACATTATTTTCATCAAGCTATCAATATATATATTTTAAATAAGCTATTCTATAGTAAAATATAGATAAAAACACCCAAAATACTTACTGCTATTGTACCTATTGTACTTGGACTGAAATTTCTCAAGTTATTCAGTAGAATTGCGCTCTATTACACGTTGATTGTACAATGTCAAAAACTTTTGCGGATGCACAATACACAACAACTAAACTAAGTTGCCTCGCAGTGGGATATAAAGGATGGGATATAGGAACGCGTATATGAACATTGAACAGATACACAAGCAAAAGAGAATTACTTTTATAAATATTTTTTGTATAATATAATATTATAAATAATTTTTGACGACACGTTTGGCTCAGTTTGCAGTAACCCTAATTGCTATGCTAGCGTTCGCGGGTTCGAATCCCGCTCGGGGCATTCTTTTGTGTGATGAACACGAATGTTTGTACTCCAGGCATGGGAGTTTATGTTTATAATATGTATGTATTTAAAATTATATATGTGTAGTGTATCAAATATCTGGTCTCCATAACACAGGCCTCGTAGCTTACCATGGAACTAGATGGTGCTGTGTTTTTATGTTCCAACATATTTATTACTAGCATTGCCCGCGGCTCCACCCGCGTTCAGATAACCAAAAGCCAAATTTTTAGGTTTTACATATTAGTATACTCTTACATTGCAGTTTTTGTATTTTTTCTCAGAAATGAGATATTTTCCCGCGATAAAAAGTATTGTATACCCGGATAACTAGCTATCACCATACCAAAGTTCATCAAAATCCCTCCAGTGGTTTTTCTGTCATGCGGTAACAGACAGACAAACATAAATTCTAAAAACTATAGATTCATTTTCAAAAAAAGATATAATGTACAGATCATTTATGGGGCTATTTTACGATATTAAAAACTAAATGTTTGGTAGAAAGATTTTAATGCGAAGAATGTGCGAAAAGTAGGCATTGGGTATTGGACCCAGTTTACAACTATACTCTTTGGTATTGGATGAGATCTACTATATGTCTAAGAATTCACGTAAAAACCAAAGAAGGCCCTTAAGGAATTCTGTTTGAATTTGAGTCAGGTTTCCCTTATTGTACTTGGAAATAAATAATATAAGCTAAAGTTTCTAGGCATATTCTGGTGATATTGTAACAATGATAAAAATGGTTTACGTATTTTATAGATTCGGTACATCAAAAGGAAAAAACGAACATCGTATAGAATCTGTCTGTCTTAGAGTGTATTGGAAGAAATTTTTAAGATTTGGTATAAATATACATTACATAGCTATTATTTAGTAATTTACAAAAAAGAAAATTACAAATATACTTAATTATATATACAAACATATGTACACTTAGTTATTACTGTACAAGTCATGTCCGCGTGGAATAGTGGCAAGAATGCTAGCCGCATTCCCCCGTTGAGTGGCAATGCCGATTCTTTGGGCGAAAAATGCGCCAGCCCTCCTGTCACCAGGTATAAATTAAAATTTCAATAGCTAGCAAAGATTGTATGTACACTACAAATCCTAGCACAGTTTAGTTTGTGTTAAACTGACTTAGAAAACTCTATGAATCTTTTAGAACATGCCCTTAAGACTTCCAAGAAGGTTAGTTTGACGATGCAAGAAAAATGTATAAAAATAAAATTCATAGTACTTGTATTCAGCCTTTTTAACGTCCCACTGCTGGGCACGGGCCTCCCTTCAATACTTACCTACCTTAGTCCACCACGCTGGCCAAGTGCGGGTTGGTGGACTTCACATGTCTTTCGAAAACTTGCTAGGTTTTCTCAGACATGCAAGTTTCCTCACGATGTTTTCCTTCACCGTAAGGCAAGTTGTAATCATGTTAGAAATGATTCGCACATGAAAATATCAGAGGTGCGAGAACCGGGATTTGAACCCGCTTCACTCGGTTTCCCAAGCGAGCGCGTTACCACTGGGCTACCACTGCCTGTAATACTTAAAACACAATAATACACACATAGTATTTAAAACACAATAAATGCTGCAAAAAATTCTCTAACACTGTTAAAAAATAAATTGAAAAGTGTAAATAGACCGGAAAAATCTAAAAACGTTCCATACAAACTATCGCGAATCCGGTACAATCTAGGGATAAAAAAACTAAGGCTCCAGTGAGCTGCGCTCTTTGTTAGAGATTTACTGACACTTTCCAATATTACAACTTATTTTTACACAATGTCTGTCAATAAATAAATAAATAATATTTTATATGATGTATGAAAATGTACCTAAAATAATATTTGAGTTCCTTATTCGTCTAGTGACTAAAATTGGCGGCTGTAGATAGTGATGTCCTGAGTTAGAGTCCGAAGTCAGCAAAGCAGGTTCTAGAATTTATTGTCATCAAATACTCAGTGCCCGCAAATTCTGCAGTATCTACAACTACGCTGCCAATTAGCGGGTAAATTACCCCGAAAACCGGGTAATTTTAAGCCATTTTTGATGGCGGGTAATTTTTACGGAAATTTTCATTGAGCGGGCTCAAAGCAGGTATTTTAGTTTAGCTAATTAATTTGATATTTTAAGTATTTTTTTTATGTTTGATTTAATAATTTAAATGTTTTTTATTTGAGAACTGATTACAATGATTTCTTTTTCTAACATTAGTACTTTCTTTTATTCTATGTAAAACATGAGTAAATTACTATAAAAAAAAACTATTTTCACGTATTCTGCTCATGGTTGGCGCCGACGGGATAAACCGAGTACTTTGGGGTTTATTAGTCGGGAAAATCAACGACTGTTAACTGGCAGCCCTGATCTACAATCCCATTTGGAGGACATCACTTTGGAGAGAGTCAAACTGTTGGTCCTACATCTTAACTCCTTCGTTGCTAGTGTCGACGCACACACGTACTGCACTATAATATATCCTGCGTAGTTGACTAGTCCCAGTGAGATTGGTCGCCGTGGCCGAAAACGGTCAGGAGAAGATGACCTAAATAAAAACAGAACACATAAATAAAAATGGCTAATATTAATATATATCCTACAGACGCTTATTTTATTCGTAAAATATATGAAGGAGGCACTAATATTATTCATTATGAAACAAATTCTATGAAAAAAAAACGTAACCAACAAACTTATTGAACAAAATTTCATAGTAGGCAATTCATGCAATCGAAAATTTCTGCTTTTAATACAATGAACATTGTTCTGAGTAACGAATACCTAAATGCGAACTGTTTACATACTTCCTCCCATTGTGAAATATTTAATTATCGCATATTTGTTGTACGTTGTATTTAACATATTTACGATCTACGCGTATTATAATTTTCATGACGTCCATAACGTTTGCAATGTACGAGATGTTTATTCAATTTACATGTACAAATGGAATTTCACAAATTTATGCACTACACTTAATTAAAATGGAAGCTATAATACTCTCTTGGTTGCTGTCGAGTCTAAAAATAAGGCTAAAGCTTATTGAGATATTTCATGATAATATACTAGCATTTTTACCTAGTTTTGTTAAATTTATAGTTATATGTTATTTTCTGCGAACTTAGAGCATGCTTTTTAGCATGCTGCATCATCGTTTTTGCGAAGAGTAGATTGTAGAATATGAAGTTAGTGTTCTTTCTTCAAAGTATCCTTATAATATAAGCTTTTGCTTGAGGTTAATATTCGTGTAGTAAATAAGTGTATTGTAGCTTCATAAACTTTTAACGAACTAAATAAGAAAAAGCTGCTCGAGTTTGGTGTATATATTTTTTATTAATTGTCCAATTATGAATCGATTTTCATGATTCTTTGTTTCGAATAGATTTAATTTAAAAATATCTATATAAGTTTCATGAAATGTGTGAAATTCCTGTTAAAATTCCATATCTATAGATGTAATAAATACTTTTAAAGTGATTATTATATAAGCCATTTTCAACTAAAAGTTACAGCGTTAGTAAATTATCATAATACAGTCAATATAATATAGGAATAAATTGTGAAATTACCAATTATATACCTAATAATAACATTACATCTACAGAACAAGGCGCCCTCACAATAGTCCGTCGGTCCTCCGGTCGCAGTAAGACGGAGAGTTCTCCTCCGACAGACGAACAGCTAGACCAGCTAGATCTAGACACTGAACACTTGCCCGCCGTTGATACGCCCGATGCATGCGATAAAGCCGCACTTAGGTAAATATTTAATTTTTACTACAAACATATTTATTTTTGGGTTACGTATATATAATTCGGAGGGTTTGTTTTTGTTGTGTGTAGACCATATCTAGACCAATTGTAAGCCAATTTTTATGATTCTATTCTTATGATTGTACTCCAAGGATTAATATTAATTTCATGAATAATTTCGACTGCCAACGGTGAAATAATTACATAAAAAAATATAAGCACGATATGCATTATGCATACGCCCTGTATTATTTAAATGAGGTTTGTTATAAAGAACTCAGAATCAAGCAGAGAAAAAGATATTATTCAATTAGCAATTAGCATAGTAATAGTAAATAATAAAAACACTCAAATGCCTGTTTTCCGTGGGTTTTTTTTCGAGAAAACAAATTGTTAAAGATTTTCTGTATAAATAACTATTGGATTTTTTGTATAAAAAAAAGTTAAATTCGGATAAAACTCAAAAGGACAAAAATGTTACCAAAGAAACTAACTGCTAAAATATTCTAAGCCTGTCGTAATAGAAAAGAGATCCTTTAGCTTAAAGGCAGCCATTATTAAGCAGTAACGATGCTTTTGATTACTTAATAAATAAAAAAGACAATTGGCACGAATTGAAATTTTATGATAATAGGGACTTTTTCCAATAACTTTATTTTATTTCGATTAATGGGAGTAATCTGTAATTATTTTTGTTTTTCGTGTACCTTAAAATATCTACTTATATGATAATGTTATAAGTGCCAGTATACTTTGTTTAAAAGCGAGTGCTTCAGAATGTATGGTTTTTAGCTTAACTGCGAACTTAACATTAAGTATAGTCAATGTCAACTGTCAATGCCGATCAGACACCCTAAGTAGTAGTAGCCATAAGTTTATTTTTTTTCTTATATTTTTCACTTTTACGCTATAACGGAGTAACGAATCAGCGTATTTTATTGACATCTAAATAGATATCAAAACTAAAATTATACGTTGAGAAGGGAAAACTGTAGATTTTAGAGACACGAAATTTAAAATAATGTTAAAAACGTATATCTCCTGTTAATGTAGTTTATTTGAAGAAAACCAATATAATTTTATTATAATAGTCAAGCCGTTAGTCAATATTTCTGAGTCACTTTAACAAATTAAATAATTATAATAAATTAAAAATTTAAAACCTCCAAAATGCCTTACATCATTTTGGGAAAGAGCTGATACTCTTAAACTGCTGGACCGATATTAACCAAACATAGATAAGAACCACCGCAAAGAAACTGGCTTTCAAATGAAAAAAAAAACCGCATCGAAATCGGTCCATCCGTTCAGACAGACAGACAGACATCGACGTCAAACTTATAACAACCCCCTTTTTGCGTCGGGGGTTAAAAATACTCGTATTCGTAACTCTTAACCAACCGACTAATTTACGTCAGTTAATGTGACTGCGAAATTGCAATTATACTATTTATAGATGTACATTATACATATGAGTACGTACACATGTTGTAGGTATATTTATTATAATTTAAATTATAATTCATTAATTTACAAACGGCAACGTCTGTTTGCAAATGCTTTCTGGTTTATGAAATGCCAAAGGCAGATTAATCATGCATCTAAAATTAATATATTTTATCGAATTATACAACCACAGCTAAAATAAATAAGAGTTTATAAAATCAGCTTTTTCACATATTCGTTACCTATTTTAGTAAACAGGTATTATTAAAGCATGCAGGTACGTTCGATATTTAATTATATTATGTTATATTCAAGGTGACAGATCCGACTCAGATTATGTTGGGTGAGAAGGCTAAAGCCGAAGCAAAGCGTAACTCCCGCCTTAGCCTTTTTATAAAGTCTTTATTTTTGAGAACCCAGATAAACTCACTACACACAGTGATGTATTTCACAAGCCAACATTTTAAAATTTGCTTTCGTCATTTTACATAACAAGAACCGTTTGCAAGCAAATTGAGTCCGTTTCTATAATAACGAATCATACGATATCTCTGCGACATGTATACCATCTGATCTAAGAACTTCTATTTCCATTTAAAATAAAGGTTTTAAAGTGTTAATAGATCTATACTAATATTATAAAGGGGAAAGAGTTTTTTGTTTGTTTGTTCGTTTGTATCGAATAAGCTCCGAAACTACTGAACCGATTTAGATACAATTTGGTAAGAAGATATATTGAAACCCTAGAAAGGACATAGGATAGTATTTATCCCGGAAATCATCAATTAAGGATGTGAAAAAGGGGATTTATATGGGGAAGCAAAGTAGGGACTACCCGAGCGGAGCGGGGGTGAGTCGCTAGTCATTAATATGAACATAAAGTATTTGAAATAATACTATAGTGTAAAATTTATTACACAAAATGCTAACAGTCAATAACATAGAGATAAAGGATATTTTCATTCAATTATCCTGGCCGCAGCCCGCAATTATTTCGCTTGATTACCCTGAAAGGGTGCTCGGTTAAATTAGATTGGACAATTCCGATCGTTTACTGGATGGTATTATTTGCAATTAATGTCTATTGCTAGTAATAATTACATATTTGGATGTACACTGGTAGTATGTATTAATAGGATAGAGGGGATAGAGGAAGATAAGTCACTAAAAATTTATTTAAATAAAATTAAGTATGACTTATGGAAATAAATAAAATAATTCAGCCTTTATAACGTCCCACTGCTGGACACTTGCCTCCCCTTACCGCGATGGGATTTTTCCTCTTGATGTTGTCTTTCGCCACAGAGTCAAATGACATAAATTAAATTTTAATATTATTTTATAAAGAAGTATATTTTTTATTGCACTTATGAAACAAAATATTGAAATTGCATATTAAAGGACAAAGGCAAAGGTAGACTTGTCCCTGAAAGACATTTCTTCTAGTCAACCCATGGATGTGAAAGATAGTAGCAGGTCCATTAAGTGCCAGAAGATACATCAAAGAGAAAAAATATACTGTTACATATATAAACCTTACAAAAAATTTAAAAAATACACATATAATAATAATATTTAAATAAATGTGCAAATAAAATACAAAATTACAGTAAATGAATATATTTATCATGATGACAAATGAATAATTTTATTATATTATTGTGTTAAGGTAATGCTGCTTTAATCTTTTTTTAAAAGCGTTGATAGAGGGACTCATTTGGGTAACTAGGAATATTGTTCCAAAGGGTCGCCGGATGTACAGCAAACGAATTCTGCAAAAACCTAGTGTTACTTCTGGGGATATCCAGCATCACTGTGATGCACGGCCGCCTGGAACGTTCTGGAGTAGGGAGCAGTTTAAACCGGGAGCTCAGGTACGAAGGGGAATTCTGGTTCTTAAAGATGTTGAGAAGAAAAGAACCGATGTGCATATCACGGCGAAGGCGGACTGGGAGCCATTTCAATTGAGCACAAAAGTTGGAAATGTGGTCATATTTACGCAATCCGAAAACGAAGCGGGTAGCAAGATTTTGTAGAAGCTCAAATTTGTTTAATTGCTACTCTGTCACATCCAAATAGCATACGTCAGCGTAATCGAGAATAGGTATTAAAAAAGGTTGTGCAAATATAATGTAAGTTTTGTAAGGAAAATAGTATTGGAGACGCTTAAGAGAATGAAAAGAGAAATGAATACGCTTAAGAATATTATTTTTAAACGTAAATGTTAAAGTAGAAACTCTTAATTTGAAAACTGTTCAGTAAATTTGACTTATTAATTGTAAATAATACTAAGGCAGTGGAAGCCGTGTGGTAACGCGCTCGCTTAGGATACCGAGTGAAGCGGGTTCAAATCCGAGTCTCGCACCTCTAATATTTTCATGTGCGAATCATTTCCAACGTGATTACTATCGTGAGGAAACCTCCATGTCTGAGAGCACCTAGCAAATTTTTCAAAGACATGTGAAGTCCGCCAACCCGCACGTGGCCAGAGTGGTGGACTATGGCCTGATCCCCTCGTATTGAAGGGAGGTCCGTGCCCAGCAGTGGAGTGTTAAAAAAAGGGCAGAATGCACAGTTGTAAATAATAGTGATTAGGTAATATTTATTGTGGCTAAAACATTTCTATGAAAACCAAAATAACATTTAAATGATACTAACTTGTTTTTGAGCGATTTGTTTTAAGAGCAACTAGCATTCATCCAGAGTTTTTTTTAAATCTAGATTCTCTATTATTATATATATATATATATATATATATATATATATATATATATATATATATATATTATATATATATATATATATATATTAAGATCTAAATTCCATGAGTATTTTTTTCTATAAACAAAAAATCTAAGACATATCTTTGTTTATTCAAAAACGTTATGTATTAAATTATGTTAGTAATCCAAGATATAATAATAATTAATGTAATTAAAAACAACCTTGTTATTCTAAACTGTCAAGATTACTTTGCTACTCTGTCAGTCCATATAACTTTATGAAATTTAGTCTTCACAATATAATTGGAATTATAAGTACAACCAAGAAGTATTTTCCAGTATATACTCGTAGTATAAGCTTCTGCATCACAGCGCTTAGTTAACATTACAGATCAAACGTTTGCGCTAAGTTCACAGCCCAGTGAAGCTCCACGTCTAATAATGGTATTACATTGCAATATTATTCTCTTTGAGAATATTATGGCTCACCCTCGCTTCGAAAAACGAAAACTAATTTATCCAACGTGAACCGTACATTTTTCCGGGATAATAAGTAGCCTATGTGCTATTCCAGACTATAATCTATCTCTGTGCCAAATTTCATCCCGATCCGTTCAGCCGTTCCGGCATGATTGAGTAACAAACTTCCAAACATCTAAACTTGCACATTTATAATATTAGTAAGATTCCTAACAAGTATTTGGCTATTATGTGATATCAATATCTCCGTATGTATATGAGAAAGTGTGTAAGAAAAAAACTCAGTTTCACATTTGTTTGGCTTAATATCCGTAATTAAATTAAAAAAAAACTCCTCTTAAAAAGCCTTTCAAAGAGCAACACAAAGACCTTTATGAAAACATCACGTATAAGTTCTTAATATAATGAACTTTATATCGTATGATAGGCTATCGTATGATAGGTCTTACTTCCACGAATACCAGATATTTTGAAGCTTTTATAATCAAGTAAAAAGGGTCCAAAACAAAAGATAGCTTCTAATCAAATATCCAATCCATACGTTTAGGAATTTAAGTTTGTATAAACTATATATTATTAATGCTAAAATGTATTTATTGACATAAACTTCAGAGATCGGCGTGAAAAAGATTTAAATACAAAATGTTCCTTGGTCGACTCGTTTTCATCTTTTTAGTTCGCTTTTTACGGAGTCGGTTTTTTTTTTATAAATAATTTTTTATCTGTCGTTTTTTAGCATTTCTCATTCCAAAATACCTTTAAAAGTATAAGTTGTTTGTATATTTGTAAAACCTCGATAGAGAAAAAAAAATGAAGACAATATGACGCGAAAAATCGGCCATTTTAATTTTTATATACTGTTTAACTGTAATAAAAAGGCTGTGACGTACGGATTGACGGATAGATCGGCACAAGAAAATAATTAGGAAACCCTTACAGTAACCTTAATGAATAACAGTTTGAATTATGTTATTATTAAATTATTTAATATTAACACAACCCTCTTTGCCGGAAGGGAAATCTAATTTCTCCAATGTAAACCTTACTGGGCCTTTATAATTGTGTAGTGACTACTAGTGGTGCATTGAAGCGTGCTCATCGTGAGACTAGCTATGAACTAATCTGATTAAGTGGGCAGTATTAATTATATTTGAAATGGAAATTTAAAATTTCCTTTTATAAATGGTATGAAGGCAGTAGTAGCCCAGTGGTAACGCGCTTGTTTGGGAAAAAGAATGAAGCAGGTTCAAATCCCGTTTCTCACACCTCTGATATTTTCTTGTGCGAATCGTTTCTAATATGGCTACCACTTTCCTTACGGTAAAGGAAAACATCGTGAGGAAACCTGCATGTCTAAGAAGACCTAACAAGTTTTCGAAAGACACGTGAAGTGCGCCAACCCGCACTTGGCCAGCGTGGTGGACTATGGCCTCATCCCATCGTATAAGGAAGGCCCGTGCCCAGCACGTTAATAAGGGCTGAATACAAATGGTATAACACTTAATTAAAAATTGTGATCGCCCAGTGACCGAAATTCGACCGTAATTATTATTGAAATTTTGAGAAAAACATATATGAATAGAATTTACCTATCCATATTAAAAACTAAGTTTCCAAATTTGATTTATTGATAACAATAAAGCTCGATAGCTACTAAACAAAAACAATGAAAATCGGTTGACAAACAAAGGAGGAAAATGTACTGGTAACCTTTTTCGATTTGTCTTTGCTTGTTTCCTCGTATATGTAGATTTAAGCCTTGTTATAGTCTATACTAATATTATAAAGTTGGAAAAATGAATTTTTTTGTTTATTTATCCTCTAATCTATTGAAGTATGCCTCAAATTTAAACAATCCTGTTTGCATTATATAATAGTATTTTATTTAGAAAGGTAAGCTATCAAACATTAGGCAAGGGTCCTTAAGAGCGAAAAAATTATTCATAAATGCTCGTACTTTATATATTATCGAAGTAATATTATAAATGCACAAGTTTTTGAGGATGTATGGATGTCTGGATGTTTGTTACTCTTTCAGGCAAAAACGACTAAATAGATTTTAATGAAACTTTACAAAAATATAACTCATACACATAGGTAACTTTTTAACCCGGAAAAATTTACGATTACCGTGGAATAGATTTGTTTTTGTTTTTCTCTAGTACTTTATATAGCTATACGAAATATTCGTAGGTCCGTGGACTCAGTTTGTCGACTTGCATAAAAAATGTTTCAGAATAGACCTAATGAGCATAATTATAATTCCATCATATTTCCCATATACATATAATTCCCATATTATATTCATTTCAGTATGGAATATACTGTACATATATACTACTCTCTAGATACTCTACAACAGATATAAGACAAACTTTTGCAGCAATATACTTACATATATGTAATTTTATTTAATATTCATTAAAAAATTAATTCTTTTTTGTAAATAACATAATGAAAAACTAAAAATAAATCTAATTTTGAATAATTTAACAAATTTTATCATGTTCTTCTTTACAGATTACGCTACCTCTTAAGACAGTTAAACAGAGGTGAAATACCAGCGGAAACATTACAAAAAAATCTCCACTATGCCGCACGAGTACTCGAAGCAGTATACATCGACGAAACCAAGTATGTACTTACAATAATGATTATAATTTTACTTACAATTTTTATAACAGAATATAATATTATATAGTAATATATAATTAATTAAATTAAAAACTACGCTCTACAAAGTTGTCGAAGATTGATGAGAAAACTTCAACTTACGCAGTTAATTAAATTTGAGTTTCTTAAAATGCTAGAAGTTCTTTTATGGGGCAAATTGAAATAACACTTCTAATTATGTAAAAATGAATGCAAAATTTATAGATTTTTATATTTAGTTTATTGCAATACATTTTGGTTTGGTTTAAATTGTAATAATTTTATCATTATTATATGAAAAGTTATTGCCTATATTTAAGATCATAAATTCATTTTTCTATCCTCGTATAGGCATTTTTACTGAATTCACCAAAAAATTCTTAAAAGAACTACATATTTTTGTCAAAGTATATTATGTACCTATTTGAATTAAAAAATCTTTTTAGTAAAAAATATTTCATTTTTTATTCCTTTATTTTACAGCCATTTCTACTTTTGTGATTTTATGTTTGATGAAAACTTTGTATAGTGTAGTATCTGTAACATTTATGAATGTTTAAAATACTATCTATAAAGTAAATTCATTCAAACTTCCTATGACCCTGTACAGGAAATAAGTAATGCATATCGCAAGGCAATCGTAAATGTTGCAGCTGTGTATTTATCAAATGAAATTTCATTATTCCTGTGTTTCAGATTTGCAGACAATATGGCGATAAAATTTTAGCATTCCATATATTTTTCGACGGTCGTCAATTTATTTTCCGCTCTTTGTAAAAGCTACTGCTTCTTACATCACTCTCTATATATTGTATTTCGATGTCGGAGCATTTCTGATGAAAGTAATTTAAGCGAAAATGGCTTTTGATTTTATTTTGGCATCAAACTACGAGTATTTTCTACTAAATTGACTGAAGATCTATCAACTTGCTGGTATTGTTTGATACGATATTTATTTAATAGTTCATTATAGATTTTATCTCATGAAATGTTTACGTTAGATTTTCCTATGATTCTATTTAATCGCGATAAGAAGACACATCTTCTATTTCTCTTATGGCCGATTTCACCAACGTCACATAAGTTTAAGGGATCCCCTAAGCGTGGTTAGGGGGCTGTTAGGGGACAGTTTCTGTTTCACCGACAGTTAGGGGTCACCTAAATGTTAAAATGCCACCTAAATATAAGTACTAGAAATATGGGCTCTGACGATGGTAAAATGAAATTTAATTTAGGGGCTAGTTTAGGGGAACTTTTAAGCTAGAGATCCCATACGTAGGTGGTAGCTTATGGGATGTTGGTGAAATCGGGCATTAGTCTTACTAGCTGAAATACAACTTAGGTAAAACATTAGTCAGACCATCAGCTTAGAAGTAGGTATTCTAAAAAAATATTCTGCGTCTACTCTACTCTCCTACTCAATTCTTAGTGCTTAAATACAAAGTTAGCCAATTTTGGTTATTTACTAATATCCGACTGTTGCAAAATTTAGTTTGGTATCTGTGCTACTTCGGAATAAAAAAAATATTTTTCTATACAATTTGAATTAGTTTTCACAAATAAATTGTTTATCATTTATTATTAAGCGATAATAATTAATTTATGCGTAACCAGACAGATTATATTTTTAATGAAACACAAACTTGAAACCCCTTTTTACCCATTTAGGGGTTGAATTTAATTCTGTCTACTTAATTGATATTTTGATCTGCAATACCCATAATTTAGCTTCGACTTATACTGAAAAAATATCAGAATACATAGATTTGGCGATCGAGATTAAAATCCAATGGATAGTAAATTCCACTAAAATCATACCTATCAAAGTCTTAAAATTCTTAATATTCATCCTTCCACATACATGCTTCTTCAGAAAGCAGTAATCTTAAACACATGCCGATTAGGACGAAAGTTTCTGTCACAACCCTAGTTACCCCTTAAAATTTCTTCTTCCCTTACTTTACACTTGGCTCAGGTTATAGGCTATAGTAAAAATTACCTTCGTAATTGAAGAGTTTTTAGTTTAAAAAATAATAATAATAATAACATTCTTTATTGTACACCAAAAAAGAAACATAAAAAAATATAAAAAAGAACACAAAGAAAAGATACACTGCAGGCGGCCACTTGAAGCGATCTCTTCCAGGCAACCTTGAGGTGGAGGAGTAATTTTACATAAAATCGGTAGGCGGTGCACTTGCTTTGTCACGTTTAATTATATAATTAGTTAAAGATAAATAGATACATATATAAACCCATATATAGATACATACATACATACATACATACATACATACATACATACATACATACATACATACATACGTACGTACAAACACACATACATACAAATTCACGCAATTATTCGCATATATAACATATTCCGTATGTTTAAGCTATTCATCCATTTAAAATCCAGGCTTAAAGGAACCCCAGGTATAATAACATCGTACAAGTGACGTGGCTCAGACCCCTGTCGCGCCCAGTATTGTGTCAATTTATATTACAATTTGTATGTGCGCTGTGTTAATTCAGCAACACTTTAGGCTCGACTTGCAAAGCGTTAAAAGTGGAATAAAATCACTTTGTTATTAGCGTCCTCTAACTTTTTATTCTTCTTAAAATACAAATGAGGCGAAAGTAAGTAATTACAGCATTAATGGTCTCCAAAATGTTTAAATATCTTTTAATACTTTAAATAACTTTTTATATCTGAAAACTTGTAACTATATTTAGTATTATAATGAAATAAGTAATAGTATATAAACTTATTCATATCCTTTAACTGTCTAGAAATTAGCTGATTTCCTAGAAATAGCTGAACGTATTTTCTTGATTTATAGCTAAAAACAATCTCGATCAAGTCAACTTTCAAACAAATAAAACTAGAATCGGGTTATCCTTTTGGGCGCTACGATGCCACAAATACACGGATACTTAGAGATATGTACACATATTAAAGTTATAACTGCCCTCTTTTTGCGTCGGGGGTTTAAAATCGACGTGACAAGCCGCAGACTACTGCCTACTAATCTTAATATTATCTTATATATCTCTATAATCTTAGTATAATTAAAACTTCTTGTTAATTAAAAGAAAATACTTCTGAATACTTATTTTACGTATTTAAATTAAACAAATACTGTTTTATATAAGTTCGACATTTGCAAGATAGATTAATTAAGGGAAATAAAACAAAAGGCGTCCGGATTTAGGTTAATTATTAGCGCCCAAACCCTCTAGGGCTCTTGGGACGTGAAAAATGTCGAATTTGTAATTCTTATCCCTCTTACATAATAAATTATGTAATAGCTAAACATTCGTGTCTACAGTTTTTTAAAAGAATTTTTTTTAATCTTTGGAACGCTGTCGAACTTATTTAAAGACAATATAATCCTTTAAATAAATATTATGTTTAAGAATTATATTTTATTAGATGCCTTTAAGGTTGAGTACTGTGAGAGGGAGAAACTGGATCTAATCATCGCGGCAGACTCCAACGCACACCATACGTTATGGGGGAATGCCACTTCTAACACTCGAGGTGAGGATACACTTAACTTTATTTTTAGCAATAACCTCACCCTACTCAACAAAGGCTCGGAACAAACATTTATAAACGCTCGTTCACAGACTATAATTGATCTGACGATGGTAACGACAGATTTGTCGAACTATATACATAACTGGCATGTGTCCAAAGAACTATCCTGTTCGGACCACAGATGGATACGTTTCACCATCGATATGAACCTGCCCAAACCATTACCTAGAAAATTACCACAAAGGACTGATCGATCTAAGTTCATTAGGCTGATCAGCACCGAGATAGGAAATCGACTTACAACAACAAATAACTTGAACATGACTGACATAGACAACTATGTAGAAAGTCTCACAACACTACTCCTGGAGAGCTATGAACAGTCCTGTCCCCTCACCATACCTAGATGGAGAGGAAAGCAACACTGGTGATGCCCCGAACTCGAGAGGCAACGCCGGAAAGTTAGGAAACTGTTCAATATGGCTAGTAATAGACGAACGCAGGTCGACTGGGACACCTACACGGTCGCCAGAAAACATTATAAAAAACTCATACGCCTCAGAAGGCAAGAATGCTGGAGACACTTTTGCTCCAGTATAGAAAATAACAATCAGGCAATCAAAGTGAAATCGTGTCTCTCTAAAGAGACAGATAACTCAATTGGCAGCCTTAAAAAACCAGACAACACCTGCGGAGACCAGTGAACTGCTGCTAACAACCCACTTCCCCGGCTGCCAAATTGCAAACACGCAAATATTGGGACCTTACAAAAAGAGGGCCACCAGCAGTCCAGACTGGAACGCAGTCAAAAACATAATTAATAAAGAGAAGACAATATGGGCAATAAACACTTTTCTCACTTTCAAAGCCGCTGGCCTCTATGGTATCTTTCCCGGGCTGCTAAAGTGGAGCGTGGACATCTTAACAGAATATCTGGTAACGCTGTTCCAAGCCTGCATAGCACACCGCTACATACCATTGAAATGGAGAGAAGTAAAGATAATTTTCATCCCAAAACCAGGTAGAGGGGACTATACCTTGGCTAAATCCTTTAGACCCATCAGCCTTACCTCGTTCTTCCTAAAGACGTTGGAGAGACTGGGGGACAGAGAGATTAGGAGCCAAATATCCCTCCAACACCCACTACACCCTAACCAACACGCCTACAGCGCAGGCAAATCAACGGAATCGGCACTCCACAGTGTAGTATCTCGCATAGGGAGCTCGCTGAATCAGAAACAACCTACCCTAGACGCCTTCATTGACATAGAAGGAGCCTTTGATAAAACCAACTTAACTTTCTTAGTATAAGTAGAGCCCTGCAAACTAGTGGTGTAAATCCTACACTCATATAATGGATAAATAACATGCTAAAACAACGAGCTTTACAGTTTACCGTTAATACTACGACACGGGGCATCGTAAGTAGAGGCTGCCCACAGGGCGGAGTTTTATCTCCACTTTTGTGGAACCTTGTTGTGAATGAGCTCATAACAGAGCTCAAAGACAACAGCCTGTACACGGTAGGATACGCTGATGATATAGCCATCTTAATATCGGGAAAGTTTGAAAGCACTTTATGTGACCGCATGAGGAAAGCTTTCAAAATAACGGAGAACTGGTGTTTGAAACATGAGTTCTCCGTTAATCCCATGAAAACAGAATTGATCATGTTCACAAACCGAAGAGTACCCGGACTCTATAAACTTCCGAAACTCTTTAAAACTGAAATAAAACTTAAAGAAACAGTTAAATACTTAGGTGTAGTCCTAGACAGTAAACTGCTATGGAATAAGCACCTTGACTACAAACTTAATGAATCAACCATTGCCTGCTATCAGTGCAAAAGAATGCTAGGCAAAAAATGGGGGCTCTCGCCGAAAATAACTAATTAACTATGTGGCTATACACGGCGGTAGTAAGACCAACGCTAACCTACGGGGCCTTGGTTTGGTGGACCAGAATGGAACTCCGGACTGTAATCACGAAACTAGGACGCTTCCAAAGGCTGGCACTATCTGCTACCAGTGGTTGTATGAAAACGACTCCCACAGCATCCATAGAAATAGCGCTCCAAACAACATCCCTGGACCTATACATAAAGCAAGAGGCGACCATGGCTGCCATAAGGCTGATGCATCTAGGTCTATGGGGGAAAAACAACAACAGTCCACACACATCCATATTGGACATAGAAATAAAGCAACTACCGCTTATTGCTGCCCCGTGTGATAGAACATATAACAAACACATCTTCAACAAAAAATTTAACATAAACATGATTGAAGAGAAAATAGACCAATCAGCAGCCAAAGAGCTACGAATTTACACTGATGGCTCCAAAACGCAGAGTGGCTCTGGAGCTGGGATATTTTCCCTCGATCTCAATATCAACATACACATACCATTAGGTATACACACTTCGATCTTCCAATGCGAATGTGTAGCCATAACGGAATCCGCAAGAACAGTGCAAAGACGGGAGGTAAAAAATTATAATATAAAAATCCTCTCCGATAGCGCGGCCGTTCTGCAGGCGTTAACAAACAAACAAACAATAAATTAATAATTGAGTGTCACCATGCCCTCGATACAATAGCACTGACCAATCAAGTCACTGTTCAATGGATCAAGGGCCACAGTGGTTCACTAGGCAACGATGCAGCTGATGAACTTGCAAAGAAAGGATCGAGGTTAGAAGTAACTGGCCCATACCCACTTCTTCTTCTACCTTTTTCACAGGTTCGCACCTGGATCCGCCATAGAACGCTGACGCTTCAAAATAAGAGATGATTGCTAACGACAGACTGCAGGCAAGCTAGATCAGCATTGCCTGCAGTTAACCCACGTCTCACTAAACGAATACTAAACTTAAACAGAACCAATCTCAAAATAATGATAGGGACAATAACGGGCAACAAACACTTATTTAACATTGGCGCAACGGACAGCCCTCTTTGCAGAGGGTGTTTTAGCGCTGTAGAATCAGTCGCTCACGTAGTCCTGGAATGCGTAGCGATAACTTCCCAACGTAATGAAATCCTCGAACCGGTGAGGTCGCTCCGCGAAGCCTGTGAAGCTCCCAGGAAGCTTCTGCGCTTTTGGACGGAGCTAGGCTGGCTGAACTAGCCAGGATTCGCAACATACAACGGACCAAATGCGAGTCTAAGTGCGGAAAACGAGTCCAATAAACAATACAATACAATACAATAGATGACTTTAAAATAAAAAAGTTTTTGTAAAAATATCTTTGTAGCACAAAATGAATTGAAATTTCGTTCGACCAAATTCGACCATGTTATTATTTTTTACCCAACTGCGGTAAAGCCCAAAGAAGGGTTATGTTTTTGACCTACATGTATGTATGTATGTCCGATCTTATGTTCCCTCGTAATTACTAAACGGCTTAACCAAATTCGATAATTCGTCATCAAATTCGTCTAGATAACGCGAGTATTATAGGTTACATAGAAATAATGTTGATAACAGTAAGCTCGTCAACAGCTACTAAAAAACAAAACAAGATAATTGGCTAAAAAAACTAAGAAGAAAATGGTACTGAACTAGTTTGTCTTTGCCTATTTATATATACACTAGCATTGCCCGCGACTCCGCCCGCGTTCAGATGACCAAAAATTAAATTCTTAGTATACTCTTACATTACAGTTTTTGTATTTTTCTCAGAAATGACATGTTTTCCCGCGGTAAAAAGTATCGTATATGTTGACCCGGATAACCAGCTATCACCATACCAAATTTCATCAAAATTCCTCCAGTGGTTTTTCTGTGATGCAGTAACAGACAGACAGATAAAAATTCTAAAAACTATAGATTCGGCCTCTGTATCGTAAATAATGTTTATATCAATTCTATTATATGTATAGATAGATTGAAGAGAAAAATTATATGAATTACTAGTAGTCTAATTATGCAACAGGTAGATACTAGCACACGTCCAGGTTTTGTTTATTGATTTATATTCGTGACGATATTTTTTACCATATTAATACCAAATCTTAAGTAATTAACGAAGAGCTACGAACTAATTGGTTTTATTCAAACTCTTTTCACTCGATTTCCTTTTAAAGCCTACCTATATTCTTTATCAGTTTTATGCAATTGTAATTTCATGAATATCGGTTCAGCCCTCATAACCAAACAGACAGACTGAATTAATTCGCATTTATATAATGAGGTGGGTACTATGTCTAAGCCAATAACGTTCCGTTAGACCCTATTGAGCGAAGCGGATTAATAAATCATTATATTGAAATTAAGATCCCTAGTTTGAAGCCGCTATAATACTAAATCATGTTAAATGTGCAATTTCAGATCTGTTTTAAAATTCTGATATAATAGGTATATAAGCTCAAGCTTACTCAAACAAGCAAGCAAGTTAATAATTCATGTTCATACTGTAAATTTGCTTTATAATATTATATTGTAGATACGTATATACTATATACTCGTATACTTTATTTAATTTACTAACCTTCTTCTAATTTTTTAATAATATTATATTTTTTAATAATAAAATTAAATACCATCACTAAACTAACCAGTGAACATTAACATTTATAACTTTCAGGCTGTTTATGAATTCAATGAAAAATCCCTATCAATACAAAAGCTAATTAATGTTACTCGTTTTCAATTTCACTCCGTAGTAGACAAAATTTATGTAAAATACATTCATATTACGCAAATTACATGCATTCTGCACCTGTGCTGTTTTCCAAACTAGTCCCATAGAATATATAATATATATAATACACTAGCATTGCCCGCGGCTCCGCCCGCGTTCAGATGACCAAAAACCAAATTCTTAGGTTTTTTCTCAGAAATGAGACATTTTTCCGTTGTACAAAGTATCCTATATGTTGACCCGGATAACCAGCTATAACCATACCAAATTTCATCAAAATCCCTCCAGTGGTTTTTCTGTGATGCGGTAAAAGACTTCTAAAAACTATAGATTCGGCCTCTGTATCGATAATAATGTTTATTTCAATAAGATTTTCCAAAAAATATTTAATGTACAGATTCGGATTAGTTACAATTTTATTATATGTATAGATTACTAGTAAATGTAGAACATTTTATATAAGCGTCGACATTTTACTTAAGCGCAGATTTATCAGTATCTTTTTATACCTTAGTTAATTTCTACTAATCACAAGAGTTTTCAAGATTAAACCAGAAGAGCACAATTTATTTTTTAACGTTTTTTAAATTTTTCAATATGCATTATTTTAATTTGTCTTAAAGCTTCATTATTGCTAGGCATCTTCTAGATTTGAAGACCACATGGAAAGGTAGAAAGGCACACGTGTTCAAACTATTGAATTTAAAATGACAATTATGAGAAATAACAAATAATTTTGGCTTAAACTAATTCGGTTTCTGCCTTTTTGGAATATTATTTAAAGTAACCATATCGGTCAAACGTTACTATCAAACTAATACCCTATATTTTTGAAGTCGATCAATAACACTATAGCTAGAAAGCAGAAGATTTTTAAAGTTAAAAAAAATGTGTGTGTGTGTAATTCACACACGGTAAAAGTGAAATTTCAGAAAAGTAACCTACGAACGAAGGAGATGACCATATGTATTTTTATGTGTTTGTCTCTTTCTCGAGTCGCATTTTCGTTTCATCGAATTTCAAATCACAACGATTCTAAAAAAGTTTCTCTTCAATAATCATTGTATTTACATACCCATATTAGCTCATATATTAGTAGACAACGCATATATATTCTGAACTAGCTTTTGAAATTGTCAAAGCTTGACAAAGTTTATTATTAGTTAGTTATATAAGCTTCAACTAACTCATAAAATTTCTCAGCTAAAGTAAACTTTGAATACCTAACATGACCTCAATACGGGTAGCTTTCATTAGAAAAGCACCTTTGCTCCTCGCCTTTTAGATTTCTGTTCTACGCAGTTATCATTAGCCAAGAACTCATATATAAACTTATTACTGATAAGTTTATAGCTACGGAAAAAATTGACTCAGATATATGAAAAATCCTATATATCTACATAGATATAAACAATGAAATATATTAACAATATTACATAAAAAATTAAAACAAACAGGTGCCAATATCTTTTTAAAAAAGTGCTCTAGAATTATAAAGCAAATTTAACAAACCTACAATGCTCCGAAATCGAATATACCAAACATCTGTGACGTTTCATCATTCTACTAAAAATAGCAAAAAGGTGCAATGTCAAGTGATCCTGTGATTATTAGACTGACGGATGTGGGCACCGGCCGTCCCGGCATACAGCCAGTGATGATTTGTAATACAGGGATAGGAGAGCCCCGGAGCAGCCGCGAGCGCAGCCGGCTCCACTCCACATGAGGCGCCTACGCACCCCGTGCTGGGCGAAGTGTTCCATAGAGAAACCAAACGAAGCAAAGTTAATACCGTTACACCAACGCCGGCAATGGCCAAGTAGTCGCGTCTCCCTTCTGTCCACTCTATGCGATTAGGTCTTTCTGTTCTGTTGATGCTTACGTCTTTCAGTTCACTGTCCTCCTGTTAGTATCAGTTTGGAGCTCCAAATTGGTGTATAGTTTCCAATTTTTGTTTTAACTCATTTGGTTAATGAGGTCCATTAACTTGAATGTGCTGATTTCGATTTGCTTCACCTATTACGTAGATGCGGTCTAAATACTTTAGATTAGTCTGGAAATAGTACCCCTTTCCATCCTGGACTCATGTGATATCGCACAATACTTCTAATTGTTTTTCTTACTTCATAAGCATGATGAATGATCCTTACATGCTTATTTTATATACATGTCTATATTACTATATCGATTTTTATTTTATCACATATTAATTAATTAATTGTATTTAAATAATAGTTGTTGCTTTATAAAACTAAAAATATTAATTTCAAATTCTTCTTTTTACGATATTGGAATATAATTTGTCTTTTATTGTGTTTATTTTATCTGTTGTAACATAATTTCATTTTAAATTAAAATTTTAACTAAATGTAATATATTTTCTTCTGTATTATATATATAATTTATTTGTCAATGTTACTTAAGTTAATAGAAAAGGGCTTGTATCCTTTGTAACTTTTAAGTTAGGTAACAGACAGTTGTAAATGTTAGTTGAACCCAGCTCCTCTTTCCCTGAGTGTGGACAATGACGTGGTGTTTTATTTTAGACCGGCTGTGGCGCGACAGCAATCGGCGCCGACCCTGGTGTTTAGGTGTGTCGATGTTACCAGTTTTAAAAATATTACCACTTGAATTCCGCTTCTTCAACATTTGTATGCACCTTACGTGCACATTTACTATGTCATTTTTAGTTGATTTTTTATAATTGCCATTTTTCTTTTGTTTATTACTTTTATTTTAATTATTCTACTAGAAATTTTGTAATACATAATTGAATTAAACTAATTTGCCAATTTATCGCAAGTAAATTTGATAGTACATTACGTAAATAGTTGTAAAGTCGTACAATCGAAACTATAACAATTTGCTATAGTTATAACATTCAAGTGGTAATAGAAGTGCCCTTGTACTTAAACTTAACTTTCCCTAACTGAGCCGCTTTATGTGGTTTGTTTATTGTGTTTCGACGTTGCTTTCCATTGTTATCATTGTACTAAGAGTTAAATGTCATGTGAAATGTGAAGAAAAAATTTCGTAATTTTATTGTTTAGCTTATGCCATCTGTTTACCTTGTGCTTGGGCATAAAGCTTTGTGCCATACACTACTGGTTAACTTTCGAAATTAAAAAAAAACCTTTGTCTTTACTTGCATAGTTTATTTCAAAAGTAGATTTCTCTCTTTGGACAGTTTAGATTCATTGAAAATTGAAGATTTATTCCAGACACATTTTATTTGATTTTAACACTTATGAGCTATTCACTTATTAATTTTTACTATTTCATAATCGTGTTACTCTAAAGCTGAAAAAAACTGACTTTTTAACATCAATATGAGTTATTATAACCACCTCCAATTATATTATCCTATAATTATGGTTAGAAATAAAAATTAAATATTTTCTACGACACTATTCCCACTAAGGCTAACCAACACTGCATATTTTCTAAATGTATATCTAGAAACATTACATCGAGTGTACATTCCAATTTGTACTTTACGATACACTTATATTTATTCATTACTTGTTGATATTTCACCAGCTTTGTATGTTAACGCAATAATTTCAATTTCCAGCAACATGGCGCCTAAAGCAAAGCTTCCACTATTTGAATGCAAACAGAAATTCACAGCCAATTCTTAGCGAAATCTGTGTATTTTACCGGTTTCAATCCCCACTCTGCATTCTTTCAACTGCCAATGGATAAATAAATTGTAATGAAATTGTTATTGCACTGAGTAGTTTCAATTAACTAGGTATTTTGTTCCTCGAAATCTACAATTAATCTGAACGGAAGTTGTTCTTGGCATTTGTAATTATTAGACTGAAATTTTCAAATCATAGTTTCTTTTGTCTGGTGAACTTTAATAATTGTAAAAAATATGTGTATATAATATAATTTTTTGCTTATTTATAATGGAAAGCAATGTAATGACCGTTTGTAAGCACGTTGCATGAACACCCTATAGATCTCTAAATTCCCTAGAAAATATCCCCAGGCATGCTTCACATTCTTGAGCAAAAATCTATTTCGACTCGCTCCCGAATATAAATATGGGAAAAATAATAAATACGAAGAGAACCTTACAGCATCGTCTGCAAAGGAAATTACTTATCAGCTATTACGGAAGCTAGCCACAAAAACGGCTCTAATACTATTACACAAACTGAATCAAGTGTAACACATTATTTCACAAGTCTCAACTACTTTCCAAAGTGCATTTAAGATTTACTGATACAACTCGTGTTTTACAACAATACAAACTTGTAGGTATTGTAATTGAGACTTTTGTATAGAGAAAATTTATTGCAGGTCTATCATTAAGTTATTTATAGGAATTTTACAATATAGATATCACATTTAAATCACTTAGTTTAATAGTTTACAAATATAGATAGATAGAACTTTTGATTTTAGATTAGATTTCTTTAATAATTCTAGCTGAAAGTTAATTTGGTATTGTAAATTTTGATAGAATATCGAAATGACAATAAATAATGAAAACTGATAGAGTTCACCACTATGAATATAAAAGAAGAATTAACAAACTTAAGTGGAAAAATTGAGATTATTATAAAAATCCATTGTTATTAAAGGATACAGTAAATAATTGGAATTGGTATATATATTACTTTATACGTACGTATATATATAATATATGACACAATTTACATATGTCAAAAATAGGCTTTGCCGCTTTTTATTTTGGAATTAAATAATTATTAGGATACAAATGCTAATAAAGTTATAGTTAAGCTTATACGATCAAGTGCTTAAGTATAATGGGTTTGATAATAATTACCTTACACTAATCAATGGCACTGTGCACAGGAGACTGGCAGACGAAGATGATGAGTTATCCGAAGTGCAACCAGATGCTGTACCACCAGAAGTACGGGAATGGCTTGCGTCAACGTTTACGAGACAGTTGGCAACAGCAAAACGGAAGTCGGACGAAAAGCCAAAATTCAGATCTGTGGCTCATGCAATCAGAGCTGGAATATTTGTCGACAGAATTTACAGAAGGGTCACAAGTACAGCCCTTATGCAATTTCCTCAGGATGTTGTTAGAGTTCTCAAAGTAAGTAATTTTAATATTCTTACGGTTTTAATAAAGCTAAATAAATCAAATTGCATATCAGAAATAATGGTTTCTAAAGGAATACTAAAATTCCACAAAATATTTCTGAAGACGGATGTATCATTTACATATGGTAATTTACAGAGCGCGGATATGGAATTTGATTTGTATTAATCTGAATGTGATGCATTTAGATATACAACCTTTAATTTAGGTGTAACTATTTATATATGAACGAATATCGTTTTGTATAACTAATTATACGAGTATATGTATATTCCTAGTTTTTTTGGACGAAATGACTGATATTTACAATATAAGATAATTTAATTAAAATCATATCAAGTACAATTTAGGCAAAAAATTACCAAATCCTGACCTGATATGTTGTCGAGTTATTAGTAAAACTAATTTTGTGACCAAGGCAGAATCGTTATTCGTCCGTACCGTTCGTACGTCCGGTGGATCTAACCCAATTTAAATAAGAAAAACACCAAAATTAGATAAAATATAGTGTACGTGCAGAGCCTTGGAGATAATTTAGTTCTAGTTTTTCCCATTTGGGACTTCCATATTAACGCATATTAAACGACTATCAATAACTATTGGTTAAACATTCTCAGATAATATTAAATAAGCCGTTACCTACGGAACGATTCGATGTGGATAGTCGATTAGATTTAAAGGAGGGCTATGGGAAATTTAACACGTTTCGACCATTTCCAATTAGTGTTGTTAGATGGGGAGCACGCGTGTGGTCTGTTCTAATTACTGTAGAATCAATAAGACAAAACGTAGCCATCTACAAATCGTGGCTTTAGATGATCTTACATAGAATCTGACATTGAAGGAGTATTGTAAACTACTTAAAAAAGAGTATGTATATATTTTTAACCGACTTCAAAAATAATGGTGTTAACAATTTGACACGTATGTATGTAATATTACTAGAACTGCAAAATATTCACATATGATAATCTATTGGTTTCCAAACAAATATACAAAATTTTATAGGTGTATATATGTTTGTCCATGCATTTCTCCAAAACTAGTTATCAAATCGTGATAATTATTTTTTTATTCGCTTACATTTATTTCAACTTAGGCCGGGAATAAAGATTTCATCAAAATCGGTTTAGCAATTTTTATAATATGGATTAAAACGTGTAACTAAGACTGAAGAACTAGTTTTTGTAATTACTACTTAATACAAAAATTATTTCAGTTTTTACTTAAAACTTTGAAAATATCTATAGTAAAAGAAAACCCCCGTTCAGTTTTTTTTTTTGTATTTTTTTAGTGTTTTCTTTTTGAAGTCGGTTTAAATTTTATTAATTTCTTTTTTTAATTCATTAATTGGAAAGTGCATATTGATATAAAAAATAAGTCTTTTCATTTAACACTCTCCAAAATTCTATAATATTAATATTTTATTTGTAAAGGTGTAAAGTGTAGGTTTCTATTAGTACTCTCAAATTTTGTAAACAATCCCTTGGAGGTATTCTCGTACAGTTATATATCATAGTGCAAGTATCATAAATCTTCTTGAAGCTATTATATATTTATACGCTACGAATCAAGTTAAGAATTCAATTAAATTACAAACTAACGAGATTTACTCGACTTACATTCGTCTTCATTGCAAACCGGACAGTACCTATTGCTAGCACGCTTGTATTGCGCAAACTTTTTATTGGACAAGTGGGATTTGGTAAAATTTCTGTGGTCTTATTGTGGAGAGAATTCGTTAAAATACCAATTGTTAAGCTTACTTTGGTTAACGTTATTTGTGTTGTATTGTGTTGAAATTACATAATATATTATGTATATAATAATAATATTTTTTGCATTTACTTCATTCGTCAGATAGCACGAAATAAATATGAGGATTCCAAACAAATGACTACAAATGATCGATTTCATTAGTCGAAATTCTTATTTAAGTAAATTTTCGTCGTAATAAAACTATTTTTATGGTTCTTTTCACGATTCATATGTAATTTAAAAAAAAACTATTTTCTTAATTTCCAAAATATCCGCGTTAATCTAAGATAATATACTTTTCCGTTTATATCTATTTTTTCAAAAAAAAGTTTCATATTATGAATTTTTTTAACTCACATAAATCTAAAATATCTTCCATATTCCAAATTTGTAGTTAGATATTTGCATTTATTTCCCACGTGATAAAAATTGAAATTTAAGTTAAAAACTTAGATTGATAAAATACTCGTAAGATAGACGGAGCGAAACATATTGGACAATAAGTAAAATAAAACTAAACTGTCCATGTAATAACAAAGAAAAATACAGTGAAATTAAAAATAATATGTATATACGAAGGCAAATAAATCCATACTAATATTATAAATGTGAAAGTGTCTTTGTTTGTTTGTTTGTCCTTCTTTCACATCGAAACGGAGTGACGGATCAGCAAATTTTTTTGTGTGGAGATAGTTGGATGGCTGGAGAGTAACATAGGCTACTTTTTACAACGAGAGATTATCTCATTCCCACGGGAAAACACGTTATTATTCTTCTCCCTGTCCATTTCCCAATCACTCGGGGTCGGCGCAGTACATCTTCTGTACTGCTGATAGGATTTGGCAAAAGTTTTACGACCGGACGCCTGCCCGACGTCAACCCTCCTTGGGAATGCTATTGTCTCTCTTTGTCCGGATGGTATCACGGAAGTCTTATAGTATGCACTTTCGACTTTTTGTCTTTTGAAACATTTTTTATACCATTATAAGGTTTAAAATATAGTATAATATTACAATGTTAATATTGTACAGGTATTTGTAATTATTTCTATTCTACAAGGAGACTCTTACAAACGTGCCCGTGGAACTTAAGTAATTACTAGAAGCAAACCGTTTAACGTTACGCGCATTCGTTTGAATCCCACTAGTATTGAAATTATTATACTGTTTAACAAGTTTTACATCATTTCTAACTAAATTCAATTATTTATTTATAATATGTTTGCTGTACGCGTGTTCCCTGAACCTGAAACTGAAGTTTTTCTATTATATCAGTTAACTTTTTTGGTAAAAAGTTAAACAAAAATTAGCAAAACAATAATGTCAAACAAATCATGTCAAGAGTGTCTCGTTTTACGTTGCAAAAGTAACTTTTTTCGTCTTTGAGTAGACATCAATGCAATGGATGATATAAAAATTATTGATGCAATATTAAATTAAAAGTAAGGAATATATTTAAATATTCTGGAGAATTGGCATAAATCTAACAGAACAAACCTCTTTATTTAGTTTTATGTATAATGTAGCGGTTTTATTATTTAAATACAATCTGTGCTACATCTTGCTCATGACATCTATCGTTTTTCCCGCGCAATTTGACATTTTACATTTCGCGAAGTAAATCATTGTCTTTTCTCAATTTAAATATATTATTTTTGCAGACTTTGGATGAATGGTCATTCGACGTGTTCGCGCTCCACGAGGCAGCAGCGGGGCAGCCGGTGAAGTATCTAGGATACGAGCTCTTGAACAGATATGGAATGATTCACAAATTTAAGGTATATTTTTGTTTATTTCATCACTCAACATAATTAACTTGATCATTGATTTATTAATTTATGATTTATATATATATATATATATATATATATATATATATATATATATTTTATAGCATATTTATTAAGAAAAGCTATTAGAAGCATTTAACATACATAAACTATGTGAGTGGAGCCGCGGACGACAAACGGGTATATAATAAATGGGAATTTACTATTTACTTTAATTCAAATAGTAATGAAAAAGTTCTTCTTTAATATTTGAATATTCTTTATTTGTCTCATAAAAAGTCTACTATTATTTCTTTTTAGTTTATATTTCGATATGTAAACATTAATAATAACACAGCAAATCTTACTGCATTTTAGAAAGTTAGCTATTCAAAGTACGATAAGTTTCGATTACATGAAATTTTGTTTTTATGAATGAAATGATGGAAATTATGAAAGATTTAAAATTTCATGGATTACATATAGTTTTTACTATTTACTTTTTCTGCGACGTACATATATACCGTAAAGTTTTTAAGAAATTAAAAAACAAAGTGTTAATACTCTTTTAAGAAGGCTTTGCGAAGAAGAGGAGTCCCGAAGACACTTTTTATATTTATCTATAGGTACTAATATTATAAAAAGGGGTTATCTCTGGATCTACTAAACCGATTTAGATGAAATTTTGTAAGAAGATAGTTTGAGACCTTGGAAAGGACATAGAATACTTTTTATCCCGGAAACCATCCCTTAAGGGGGTGAAAATTGTGATGAAAGTTTGTATTGGGAAGCAAGCTAGGGACGAACCCGATCGAAGCGAGGTTGAGTCGCTAGTGTTTTATAATTTTATATAGCGTCACCTTGTAAACAAGTATTATTAAAGTAACCTATGTGTGTAGTCTATATGGGTAATATTCCAATATAGTTTGTGTACTAAATTTCATTAAAACAATCTTTACTCTCCCATTTAAATTATATGTATGTGATTACCTAATATATTTTTAAATAAATTAAAACATTAACTACATTCACAAAATCATATTATAGCATCATATGAATTACAATGAACAACAATTTATTCAATATTTATCTCATTTGTTCTACGAGTACATGTTATTACCGTTGAAATATATAGCATTTTGATTTTGGTAAAGTAAATTAAATTATAAGCAATCATCCACTCTAATTTAAATTACTATATATTTAACCTTATGGTTAAATATACAATTTAAATTACAGTTGAAAATGAGTTTGTTTATTTACTAGCGTTTCGCACTGACTCATTACAAATATACTTACTAATCTTTACATATAATAAAATTGTAACTAAGCCGAATCTGTACATTAAATAATTTTTTGGACAATCGTATTGAAATAAACATTATCATCGATACAGAGGCCGAATCTATAGTTTTTAGAACTTTTGTCAGAGTGTCTGTCTATTAGCGCATCGCAGAAAAACCACTGGAGGAATTTTGATGAAATTTGGTATGGTGATAGCTGGTGGGTTATCCGGGTCAACATATGGGATAATTTTTACTGCGGGAAAATATCTCATTTTTGAGAAAAATGCAAAAACTGCGATGTAAGAGTATACTAATATGTAAAACCTAAGAACTTGGATTTTTAGTTATCTGAATGCTGTAAAGCATTCGGGAACCAAAAATCCAAATAAATCCGCGAAAAAATCCGAAAAGATAGTTTTATTTAAAATGTCAAATATTTGCGTAAATCTAAGAAAGTATTAATCACGAACACTATTATTATTTATTAGTAAAAAAAACTTGAAAAAAAAAACGATTTAAAAAAACACTAAAAAGTAGAAAATAACTGATTGGTAGTTTTTATTTACTACAAATACCTAATCAGATATTTTCGAAGTCGGTGTGCTTTGATTTGTATTAGCTGGCATCGACTTCGAAAATATCTGATTAGGAGGTATATATAGTAGGTAAAACTACCAATCAGTGAGTATTCTATTAGCTGTCGAAGAGTTCCACTATCCACTTTCTGGCCTTACCATCAGATCAGCTCGAGGATACCGAATCACTGTACAATCAATGGAAATACAGTATACATAAGTCAATATGACAAAAATAAATTGTCATAGTAAGTAGGTTAAATTTTTCTTGGCTATTTTTCTACCTTTAGGGGTGGAATATTCCTTTAAAATTTAAATGCGACCAAACTGGGGGTAAACACTTTCAAACAAAATAAAAATTGTCCAAATCGGTTAATAAATGGCGGAGTTCTGAGGTAACAAACATAAAAAAAATACAGCCGACTTGAGAACCTTCTCCTTTTTGAAGATTTGTGTTAAAAATTAAGAAATCGTTACATATACTCCTACTAACAAGATTGATGAGAAAACAGCATCATTTTGGTCCAAATAACGTGCATCCGGAAATCTCTAAATTATATTTAGTTGAATTACGCTACACGTTTACTTCAATTTAGCCTATTAACTATGATTGAATTGATTCTCTAAACAATAATTGATTAGTCGCGATATGCCCAAGCTATTATCGTAATGGAAACCTTTGAACATAGAACAGTATAATACTAATTCTCTAACGAGTATTCTGTATAGAGCACCAGCTAACTAATTATATGTATCTCCTTATCTTATTGTTTAGTAATGAATGAAGCTAATATAAGCTACTAAATGTTCTAAATATCTATGTGCGTAAGTAAATTACTTGACAGAATTTCGTCTCAGTAATGACGTGTTCGATTATCGTTCATTTTTTAGCCACATATTTCGACCAAGGTGAAGAGTTTGTGAAGTTAGAGCTTGTAGCGTTAGGGCGTGTAGAGCTAGCTTGGCTCTACATGAGATCTGATAACTTTTTGACAGTGCGAGCCATATGGTCTCGTCTTGGCAACATTTTACATGAAAATGTTTTTGGTGGGATCTACTTTTATCGATAGCTCTTCAACGTCAAACAAGTTTCGATTAGATCGAGTAAAAGTTTTACGTATTTTCTCTTTCTGAGAAGTACAGACTCAAGCTTTCAAGAAATTAAATAATTAAGTGAGCTTCAACTTTAAAACTTTTATACTTGACAAGTGTGGTGACTTTGTTTGCGTAGATCAACAAAGGAAAATTATAAATGGCGAGAAAGAAGTTTAATGAAATAAGCTATGTAACTTAAAAACAATTTAAAATTCTATTTAGAGAACGAAAAAATGCAATTTTCAATATCCATTTCATAACTAGTTATCTTGTAAGACGTTTTCTTTTCCAAAATTGAATGGCTGCACATACGTTGAATAGTTTTTCACGTTCTGTTTTACACGTTTTATTTCTTTTTTTTTTTATTGCATTTCACACGTTTCACACGTTTGTCCCCAAAATTAACTTTGTTTTTATGTAGATAATAATGTCTCAACAAAAATAAACAAAATCCATGTACACAATATGTAAATTTTAAATGAAAATTCGCTCTGAGCTCAATTAGATTATGTATATATTATTTTATAGTTACATGTGTCTGTCAGCATTTCTAATTAAATTCTATATATTAAATACATAATATAATATATTATAATAGATGTAAAACCTACAGTTTTTGTTTGTATGTATGTATATCTCATACCTATTCTGCTTTAGCTAAAACAATCTCGGCTGAAGACCATTGTCTAGGAAAGTTTGAATTAACATAGTTATTTTCATTTAAATCTTTTGATTGTAATAAGAATCAGAAATTGGCAATTGCGGTGAAGTCACAAGCATTTCTAAGCCTTATATAAAAACACTGAAGAATAATATAAATCCTTCAAATTCAAATTCATTCGATCTCAGTAGAAAGCTTGCTGGGAATATGTTCGTACACTGTATACCAAAATAAACATAATAAAAAAAAAACAAATGAGTAAACTTTAAATCCGAAATGTTCTAAATACATGCAGAATTCTCGTTATATTAAAACTTGTGTAATTTATATGAGCCAACGCGATTTCCAGGAATATTCCAAGATATAATATTTATTTTAGAATACATTTTTATATTAACTTCTCCTTGCTGTTATTCGCGTGTTTATTTTTATAGCAATGAGATACAAAGTTGGAAAGTTATCGTATCTTCAACTCGTAAATAAGAGAGAAACATGTTTTTCTTTTTACATTAAGTAACAACTAAGTAATCGTAGCTCAAAAAGTTAAAACTAATCTATATATATAATAAAATTGTAACTAAGCCGAATCTGTACATTAAACATTTTTTGGAAAATCTTATTGAAATAAAGGTTATTATCGATACAGAGGCCGAATCTATGGTGATTAGATTTTTGTATGTCTGTCTGTCTGTTACCACATCACAGAAAAACCACTAGGGAGGGATTTTGATGCAATTTGTTTATAGTGATAGCTGGTTATCCGGGTCAATACATATAGGATACTTCTTACTGCGCGAAAATGTCTCATTTCTGAGAAAAAATACAAAAACTGCAATGTAAAAGTATAGGTACTAATATGTAAACCTAAAAACTTGGTTTTTGGTCATTTGAACGCGGGCGGAGCTGCGGGCAGTGCTAGTATTATATATAGACTATACCTATAACCTAGCTAGCCTATATCGGAATATATAACGGCCACTACAAACGGCAAATTACTAATTTTAGCCGTTAGGCGATAGGTCGATACACTATATAATATGTTGAATGTAGATAAACATATTACATACAATTTGTTCTGTAAACTGTAGTTAAAGAAGTAAACTACTCGTATAACAAACTTTCATAAACGCAACGGTGTAAGACAACTTCCTCGAGCAAATTTTAAATACTATTTTAATGTATAGACGAGTAATGCTTGTATTATTATGCTTAACTAAGTTTTGGTTACCGAGAAATCTAGAAATTAAACCAACTTGCTAGCAAATCGTTGGTTTATGTGAGGTTAACAGAATACCGCTTCAAAATAATTGTTTAGTATTGTCAACATATTATATATATATATATATATATATATATTACGATTTCTCCAGTTTATATATATATATATATATATATATATATATATATATATATAATATATATATATATAAACTGGAGAAACTGGAGAAAAATAGATATATTCAGAGACCTATACTAAAGATGCGATCTTACAATCTGCTTTTAAATTCCTAACAAGTAGTAGTCAGAGATCCCTAAGCCGTTCTTAATATATCAATTCTCGTAAGTAGTTGCCTTCTGATGAGATACTAAACTGTTTTCTCTAAGGAAATTATCGATAGTGGAAAGAAAAAGTTGTAAAATATGTCGAATTGCTGATTGTCAAAACTTTAGTACTTACTAACAGTTAATAATCTTCTTAAGATAATTCAATAAGAACAAAGACAAGGAAACAAAATATACGTGTCAAATTAAGAAACTCCACCTTTTTTTGTCGGTTAAAAACGAATGTCTTCAAAAAGAAGCTACTCACGAGAATTCAGCTTCATAGTAAATATTTCGAAGAATGTCTTAAGGGTCTTGAATTATATCTATATACATACAGAAAGACAACAATAATAATTCATACAATTCATCTAATTCGATATACGAGTACTTTGCTTATTAAATACATCCACTCTTACTGAAATTCAGATCAAAATTGGTACTGAAAATCAATTCCAATACCATTTATCGTACAGGTGCCGCCGACGATTCTAGAGAACTTCCTCAGTCGGATAGAGGAGGGTTATTGCAAGTTTCACAACCCCTACCACAATAACCTCCACGCAGCGGATGTCGCACAAACTGTACACTACATGTTGTGTCAAACTGGACTTATGGTAAGAGATTTTGTTATCATTATATTAAGCATCTATTAAGTAAATTAATTAAAAATTTAAAAATGCCCTATGCAAACTAATTGTCATTTAACGATTACACTGGCACGCGTGAAGCACTTAATCGAGTAATCATACGCCAAAATGCCTTACATCATTCTGGAAAAGAGCTGATACTCTTACACTACTGGACCGATATTAACCAAACATAGCTAAGAACCACCGCAAGGAAACTGGCTTTCAAATGAAAAAAACCTCATCGAAATCGGTCCATCTATATCTATATCCAAAGGTATAGAGATTTTATTAAAATTCACTTTTACTTATGTATGTATTTACGGTTCATTTTATCTATACTAGTATTATAAAGAGGCAGAGTTCGTTTGTTTGTTTGAATGCGCTAATCTCAGGAACCAATAACCCGATTTGAAAAATTCTTTTTGCATAAGATAGTCCGTTTATTGAGAAAGGCTATAGGCTATATATCATAAAATATATAATATTCTATCTATTCCATACTAACCGCTAAAACGTACCTAGTAAAACGAGCCTGAGGGAAGCGGGGGTGAGTCGCTAGTATGAGATATACCTATAGGATTTTCTGACAACAAAACGCGAACCTATCTATCTACGCTTTTTATAATAATAATTCCTATATTTTACATAATTCAAATTTCTAGCTTGAAACCACATATTGGGATTCGCCATTAGAATGTGACGTATGTAACTTAGAATATTTATATCGCTAAGTCTCGATAAATAACCGCTATATCATTTTATATTAAAAAAAATCGTAAAAGTCAATGTATTCACATTTTACAGTATATCGTTAGGGCACATACAACAAGGCTTACTAAAATATTCAAATAGCCTTAGGGCGTAGACACTTAACAGTTTAATTTTTCTATGAATAGACAAAGCAGGCGTTAGTAAATACCCAGAGGGCTTGAAACAGTCTTTATACAAAGGTATTTACACAACAATGACCTTTGAGGCTTTGATACTTAATTGTGTCAAGTTTTTATGAAATATTTGAATTGTAAAAGAAAATATGGTTTCTGAAACTTAAAGTTAAAGTATTTCCTGCATATTACTATACAGTTTTAGAGGCAAGTATCTACTACACTTCTACACAGCAATACGTTGAAATGAAAGAACAAAATAAATAATTTTGTCAAAAACCGTGTAACGACTTCAAAGGCACTTTAAATGTCCACTCCATCATTAGGGAGAAAAGTTGATTTTTTATTTTATATATGTATATAAAAAAAAATTATAATAGAAATATCGATTGTCAACTGACGAAGATACAAAAACGTACGTACACAAAAAAAAATATAAACTCTAACTAATCTTACTAACTCATTTTAGTGTATTGTTATATTACGTATTACTAAAAGAAGAAAACTGTAATTGGCTTTATTTTAGTACACATTGTTTTTTACATTAATTTGTCTCATGTAATGCTGTTGTTTTCTCAATAAATAAATAAATTAAAAATTAAATAAACACGAATTATTTTTGAAGTTGGTTGAAACTACCATCGTTGCATAGTGTTGTATTGATTTTTAGGGTTCCGTATCCAGAGTGTACGGACGGAAACATATTATTACGCGTTAACTATTACACTAATCGACCATTATATTGTTATGTAGAATTCACTTGTAAAATTTCAATCCTTATGTCACTTCGAAAACAGACAAAAAACCACTTTTAAAAGATTATATAGTTTTATGAAAAGGTAATAAAGGAGTACCCTTTTATTTAATACCAATACGCTATAATTATGAGTAGGTATATTAAGGCAGTGGTAGCCCAGTGGTAATGCGCTCGCTTGGGAAACTGAGTGAAGCGGGTTTAAATTCCAGGTTTTGCACCTCTGATATTTTCATGTACTTATCATTTCCAACATTCAACACGATTATCACTCGTGTTACGGTAAAAGAAAACATCGTGAGGAAACCTGAGCATATCTGAGAGAAGGAGCTAGTTACCGAAAGACTGTGAAGTCCGCCAACCCGTACTTGGCCAGCGTGGACTATAGCCTGATCCCCTCGCATTGAGGGGGCCCGAGCCCAGCTGTGGGACGTTAAAAAGGACGTTAATACAATATATATTACAAATTATGTATATATGTACATAGAAGCCAGATATTGTTATATAATTAGTTAGGTATATCAAATTATATTATAAATTAACAAAGGTTTAAAGCAAGGTCACACCACAAAACCGTCTTCATATTTCACTTATAAGTTTATTTCTAAACCTTCACAAATGCTTTACAAGAACATCCCTAGTCTAGACACTAAACATAATATGTAATTCTATATAATATGGTTTAGAAACTTTTAATTAAATGTTAAAACATAATATAGACTTTATGGGTAAATTATCTGGGATATTCAGTATTATAATGTAAAAACCATTTATTTCTCAATGATCTCTAAATAAATAGGCAAAGACAAAGCAATTCAGTACTTATTTCTCCTCTGTTTGTTAACAGATTTTTCTGTTTAATAGCTATTGATGAGCTTTATGTTATCAATACAGAATAATTATGATCGATTTTCGATTACAACGAATACTACTCATAAAAATTGTTCATACCGTCGTTGAGCCTGCAAAATCCGCTATGGATAAAAACCCAACTTTTCAGGAGAAACAAAAAACTATTTCTTTTCTAAATTGTTAATAACATTTTAAAATTTACTATGCAGAAAATTAGACTTTGTGTCGGGACACCTAGAAATATATATTTACTGCTGTTTACTATGATATTCCAGGTGCTAGAATTTTTTTAAGTGAATTTGGGCACATATCGGATTTTATTTGGGTCGTAAATACCGCTATTTGACTTTTCACCATATGACGGATTTATGCTTCTTCTAAATAATAAACATTTGTGTGCTTTCTTGAACACATAACGGATTTAACAAACTATTTTTAAATAATAAGATAGGTTTAAGTTCGCTTAAAAAGTATTTATTATACTTAATTAGAAAAATAATTAACCTAATAAATCAAAACAGACTAAAATAGTGATACCTCTAAACAGCTTAGCATGCCTAGGTAGTTATGAACAAAATAGGTATTTAAAAATGTAACATAATATTAATAAAATAAATTGCAGCAGTAGGTATTAATTAACGGATGAGTTAGTTATCACAAGAAACATAAAATTATATAAACTAAAAAATAATAAGTAACATAATAAAACAATCGTTCTAAATCTTTATAATATAACAAAACTCTCGTATAATATGAACAGATCAAATAAAATCACATTCATTGTTAGGTACACTTAAATATTTGGAAAACTTTGAGATCAATTTGTAACTAAGTAAAAAGTAGGTACTAAACATAGTCGCCCCCAACGTGCGTTCACCTTGTCGTGGTGGGGGAGCTCAGTAGTGCCCGGCAACCCAACCGGGCGCGAAGCCAAGAAACGCACAGGGAGGTGGCCCACTTCGGTGAGCGGTGGGAGGCGCCCTCTTCGGAGGGCGGTGAACCATGCGGGTTGCTCCTGGTACTTCTCTGATAGCAGAGTGGACTTTGGAGCAACCCCGTGGTTGTTGTGGTCTGCTTCGGCAGACCTGTCGTCGGGGCGTCGTTGTTGAATGCGTAAGCGATCCTGCGACGCCTTATTAAGACGGGGGAAGGCTTTGTTGGGTTTTAGTGGGTAGTACTGGCTTTGCCGGTGAGTCCCACAGGTCGTGCGTGAATGCATTTCCCAACGTTAAAAAAAAAAGGTACTAAACATAGTAATCAAAACTAGTTTTAGAGGAGGTTTTAGCATTAAAGGTTTCAAGGACTGTAAACTATGAAATTTAGTCTTTTAATTTTTTTTGGCTTAGTAAACAAACACCGAGCTCCTCGTACAGATCAGCCTTTCTTCTTTGTGACAACAAGGTCCATTGAGTGACATGATGTCTTAATTTATAATAAGTATCACCGTTCACATACAACAATGATCTCATATCGGCAACTGTGGGATCACCTGCTCTTTTACCGGGACGAATCGATGAAAAATTGCTAGGCACAGCTTCAAAGTTCCTAAAAAAGGTATAGTCTACAAATTTTATAATGTAAGATGGACTTGGCCTCGCTTTTCATATGCATGCGACATAATCTGCAGGTGTTTATAACGGCGGAGTAAAGAATTTCTCTAAACTCAAATGGACACTGTCAACCTCCATCATGGTGTGCCCTTTTTCTAAGATGATTTGTTGAATTTCAACCTACTTTATCTTCGAAACGTCTGCCAAAGCACTAGACAAAACATTATTCCAGTTTTGGTAACCACAACCATCTGATATGAGACACATTTTTGTATATTCTTTGGTGGTATAAAGCTCCACAAATGTTACGATGCATGTAACAAATTTATTACATGTAACACCACCGTCGCCTTCGTGCCAAATAAACATAAGTACATCTCTTGTGTTATTAATATATATTGTAAAAATATGAAGCTGAAGTTTTTGTTTGTAGTACTGGCAGGATACTAATAACTTGGGGCATAATTGGACACTTTGTAAATCCATTGTCATACACAATGTTCATCAGAAAACGAATCTATGGCTATTTTTTCGCTTCTCGAGCCTCATTCTTTTTTTATATATGTGTTTGATACGCTTCTTCGCTTAAGTTTCCTTCTTTGTAAGATACGCAAGTATCAAATTGATCCTTCCGTGGCTTATATATAGAAATTTTCTTACTTCTTAAAATCTCGCAAAATTTCTTTCGTTGGACGAATTCCAAAAAGGTAGATTGACATTAGGAAACGTAAACCTCGTGCATTTTTGTTTTTGAATGCAATGCATCATCTACGTACGTTCTTGATGAAAACGAGTGGCAATAATGACTGGGTACCTTAGCTAACTGATCTAACCATTGTACGACAGTCTGACTTTAAAATTCTCTTGTTTGAGGTACTAATCTTATCATAAATGGCAGGTATACTTTTGGTTGTATGACATCTTTTAGCTTTGGTCCAATCTGTAAAGGTTTCTTTCGTAATATCCAAAGTGGCCAAAAATAAATCTCTACAGACTCTTACTTTAACGCCATTTTCTCTTTTCAAAAAACAATCGACACCAGTATTTTTTCGTTTTGATGTACGATTTTCAGTTGTGGTTATGGTTCTTCTTTTTATTATATTTTGAACTGCAGTCGAACCCAATACGATGCCTTTTTAGCTTCCCAAGATGTCAACGACCAGAAATAATCAAAAATATCTTTACGGGCTTGATAGGTTACAGACCCGCAAAGAAAAGGCCTGTCAGAAATGCCTATAATACCATGATTACAAGGTACGGGCTTTTGTTATCTTTTAGACTTCTCAGTCTCGATCACAGTTCCCCCCGCTCTTTGAAGACCTTTGTATTCTTTGCCATGTAATTGAAGAGCCTGGTTGTTCTTCCTCTTATTCTTAATAGATGTTAAGTTATTATTATACTCTGATTATTATTAGATTCTTCTACCTGCCAGTCTTCTTCTAACAGCCCTGTCTCAGGGTTTAGCAATAAACAACAGGAGCTTGAAGTACCTGGGCTCTATATTTTTTATACATCCAAGGATTGGTCGTTAGAAAATGGAAGTAATGGTGGTGACATATGAAGTGGATAAATACTATATTCTGATCAGAACAATCACCAGAATCAAACGCTATTGGCATCTGAACACTATTAAGTTGATGCTGGTTCGATTCATGAAATTCAGTGAACGTTGAGTCACGTGCAATCGATACTTTTTCTTCTACAGGGTCAATAATATTGAAATTCGAAATATTTGTACTTGGTATTTCAAAGTTCGCCAAACTAGGTATGTATAACCAGTTTTGTAATTTATATGCACTATCTAACACCTAAAGCTATTTAATTGATATAAAATACGATCTGGTAAACATTGCACCACCTGCCACGTGCTCTTTCTTCTTTATGTCAAACCCGCTATGTATCATTTCAAAGCGCAATTCTAAGGGACTCGCTTTGAAACAAAAATACGCTATGTGCCTCCTGCACATATAGAGGGTTTTTCAAGTTCGTTTTTCATCAAAATTACATAGCTGATTTTGCTATCTTCTTAACCAAATGAGTTATTCAAAAACGGATTTTACAGATACACGTGGATTAAGAAGTAGTATAAACTGGCATTAAAAACCGATTTTCAAAAAAAAATACATAGCGCATTTTGCAGGCGCAACGACGATACAATAAAATGCTAGGTATTAAAAATTTTGAGAAACCCCGACCACCTTGGACAGATTTTCATCAAACCTAGCTAGGAACACTCCAAATAATCCACCTTTCAAACAAAAAAAAACAAAATCAAAATCAGTTCATCCGTTCGGGAGCTACGATGCCACAGACAGATACACACACTGACACGTCAAACTTATAACATCCTGTCGTTTTGGCGTCGGAGGTTGAAAACAAAAATACAGGTGTCAAAAGTGACGAAATTTATTTTACAATATTCAGAATTAATAATTATTTATTAACTATTTTTTTTTTAATTAATTTTTGTCTAAATCCTCAACTGTAACTTATATTCCACACCAAAACGAATGAAATGAGCCTAAACACTTTATTTATAATAGTAGTTAAAAGTTATACAAGTGTAGTGTATCAACTATCTGGTATCCATAACATAATAGTAGGGGAGCCCAAGAGGGGATTTTCTGTAGTTACTCGAGCGCGGCAGATTAACATAAAAGAGGTTACCTTGCACTCTATTGAGTACTTTCACCACAATATAAGTCTTCTATATAAAGTGGCGCGTCTAGGGAAGCCGATTAAAATATTTAAAAAATGTTTTGATAAGGTAAAAATACTTGAAACCGTCAGATTAAGGTGTGGTAGGCTAGTCACATCCTGAAAAGTGTCCAATTTAATAATCTGCCGATTTGCACAAGCCTAAGAGGCAAGAATCATCATAAACTTTATAGTCGATTTTTGATAAGCGATGTCAACAAAAACTTGTTAAAATTGATGAGTTCATTTCGATCGGCTTAGTAGACACCAGACTCCCAATAAACGGATCTAACAAAAACAAGCTTTACGTATAGGGTTGACTTAAACAGAACACACAGCAGGCAGTAACTAGTTCCGAATAATTAATTACATGGCTGCGAGGTTTTCCCTTGCGAATACATAAATATAACTTTCAAACCAACTTTGTACTATAATTTTGAGTGAATTGAAGATTAGCGCTTGTACTTTATAGGGATTGAACAAAAAATTAATGTAAATAAAATAAGATAATTTAGATGCTATCTGGATTACTAAAAACTTACAGATATTAATAGGGCCTTGTATATTTATTAAAGATATGATATTTTTCTATTATAGTCAAGACTTGCAATCGCGTGCTCGAACGCCATCCTAATAGAGTTTTCCCGTTTGGCACATTTTATTACTGACAGTAGCCAAAACATTACTCCAAGCCATAGTCTATCTGCTTATTAAGTTTCACCAAAACCCGTTCAATGTCCATCTGTTTCGGAGTAACATTTAATAAGTATACTAGTGACTCACCCCCGCTTCGCTCGGATTCGTCCCTACTTACGTTTTAACGTTTAGTATAGATTTCTCAGAGATGAGATATTTTCCGCAGTAAAAAGCATTCTATATATTGACCCGGATAACCAGCTATCATCATATCAAATTTCATCAAAATCCCTCCAGTGGTTTTTCCGTGATGCGGTTACAGACAGACAGACAGACAAAAAATCTAAACACTAGATTCGGCCTCGGTATCGATAATTATGTCTATTTTAATAAGATTTTCCAAAAAAGATTTACCTGATGTACGGATTCGGCTTGGTTACAATTTTATTATATGTATAAGTTACACACAATAATTTTCACCCTTATAATGGTAGTGCGATAGTGGCAAGAAGCTCAAGTATATAAACTTTCTTTCAGAATTGGTTATCAGATTTGGAAATCTTCGCAACTCTTGTAGCGGCGGTAGTACACGACTTCGAACATACTGGCACCACAAACAACTTCCACGTGATGTCGGGCTCTGAGACCGCTCTGTTGTACAATGATCGAGCCGTGCTGGAGAACCATCACATCAGCGCTGCTTTTAGGTAAGAAATAGAAAAACATAAGTTTAGGTTTTCTTTACCAAGTTTAAAAGTTATTTTATATTTTATTTAGCATATATTACATAACAGTACCTGGACGACCCAGCTTCGCTGGGTGTTTTTGGCCAGAAGTACAATTTTCTTTTTTTTATTCAATTGTCAATCTTGCCCCTGGGCCGCTTGACCACGATGCTTATGCCCGAGCGTGCGAAATTAGCGAAACCGCATGAAAACTCGAAAATACACTTTTTCACAGATATAAGATTAATCTAGATCGATCTCGAAAACCCCCACATACCAAATTTCAGCGAAATCGTTAGAGCCGTTTCCGAGATCGCCAGTATAAATATACAAGAGTTGCTCGTTTAAATATATTAGATTAGATATTATTCAGTATTATTTTTCACTTCCTGTGTGGCTTAATCCTATATATTTATGCGTTTGTCTCTTTCGAGTGACGCATTTTCGTTTTATCGAGTTTCAAATCACAACGATTCTAAAGAAGTTTCACTTCAAAAGATTTGCATGATGAAGCTTTTGTACAGATACACTAAAATTATAAATTGGTAAAGTTTGTATGTAATTTTTGAAACTACTGATCCGATTCTGAAATTTCTTTCACAAATAAGAAGCTTCATTATGCGCCGGATGGGCTATTTTTTATTCCGATAAAATTGTGTTTAGTGTTGAAAATCATAATACTCGTAACTTTAATTGAAGTTGGAAAAAACTGGCGTTGGCGTAAAGGCCTGTACTACTTAAATGGTTTGAAATAAAGCAATAAAGTGTAAGGACCCAATCATAGCGAGAGTAACTCCCTATTAGCATTATAAATATGAGCAAAATAGACTTTTTTATAGACTTCATTTAATTCCTCCACGACCGCGGACACGCCGGCGTATCAGTTAACAATAGATTTCTTAGAATCTTAATTAATATCTTAGAAATTTACCTGAAGGTGTTAAATAATTTCGAATAAAACTATTTTCTATGAAAGCTTTTTTATGTGTAACAAAATTACAAAGTGCATATATGTATTTTTTTTTATTTTTTTAATAATGTCATTAAAAATTATTGACGTAAAAACAGTTCATAAAAATTTTGTCATAGCGCCACGCACTTACTAATCTTGCAAATTTCATAAAAACGCAAAATTCATCAACTTTATGAAAAAAATTCGCAACTAAAGATAGGAATGCTGTCGGACGGTTCATAACCGTTCCAACACAAAGCCTACGAAGTAGCGTAATTTCCCAAGAGACCAGGCTTCACACTGCGCGATCATTCAAACTCGCTCGTTATCACAATTTTATCCTAATACTCATACATTTATAGGCTTTACTAATTACTGTTTCACGTGAGACGTAAAATTATCTTTTTCGTATTTATTACACACTAGCGGCTCACCCTCGCTTCGGTCACGTTCGTCTCTAGTAAAAACAAAAACAAATCTATCCCACGGGACCCGTACATTTTTCCAAGGTAAAAAGTTGCCTATGTGTTATTTCATTATTACTATACCAAATTTCATCCAGATCCGTTCAGCCTTTCTAGCATGATTAACAAACATCCATCCATCTAAACTTTCGCATTTATATACGTGGTAGTAAGATTATTGTAGCTGAAATAAGGGCAGAATTTTTGGCTTATAGGGATTAGGGAATCTTCAAGTTTAGTACTATTTACTGATAATGTAAATCTAGGTATATAATCTAGGTATATATATTTTTAAGATACAATTTCGAAAGGTTTAGGCTATTTTAAAGGTTTTAAAGGTTACAAACACAAACAAAACATATTTCTATGAATAATAAAAATAGTTTTTAAATTAAAAAATTAAAAACCCTCAATTCAAAAAGGAACAAAAATACAATTCGAAAAACGACCCTGAAAATAATCTCATCTATAAATTATCTTTAATGAAAACCAAAGAACCAAAGTTTAATGGAATAATATTATGTATACGTCGGAGTGTCGCTAAGCAGACAAAAATAGAGAATAAAAACTTGCACACATACGATACAAACGTTAAACTTACGCCTCTCTTTTTGCGTCGGGTGTTAAAAATACATGGTACGAATAACGAGAGACGTCTAACACACTACCTATATAAAATCAAATATAATTTCTACCTACTAAATATAAGCTTTGCTTATACAAAATAATAAACCGGTATTATAAATTTATGAAAATTAAACATCGATAAAAGGTTTTATCTTCCAAAATTGGTAAAGACGAGGTGTCTTTATTGGGTTTTAGGATCGTAATCTCTATCATCTACGAATAAATTTACGCTTAAATCCCTCCTCAAAGTGAATAAAATACCGCAGAAATCAGAATTATCTCTTGAAAATTTATTTCAAAATATCCATACTAAATATTATAAATATGAAAGTTTGTGAGTATGGATGTATGGATGTTTGTTACTCTTTCACGCCAGAACGGCCAAACTGATCTGGATGACGATTGGTACAGATATAGATTAGAGTCTGGAATAATACATAGGTTACTTTTTATCCCGGAAAAATGTACAGTTCCCGTGGGATAGATCTGTTTTTGTCTAGGGACGAGGACGAAGAAGCAAAGGTGAGTAGCTAGTACAGTTATATACAAAAGAAATTGAAAATGAAGTAATATTTATGTTTATGTTAGCTAACTTTGTACCTATAGGTTATAAGGAGTTAGCTTTAGCCCACACAGTACCGTTCATATGGAAAATATTATATCGACAAATACTGTGTTAATCCCACTAATATTATAAACGCGAAAGCTTGGAAGGATGGGTGAACTCTTCCACGCAATGAATGTTACTCTCTCACGTAAAAATCACTGAACAGATTTTGATGAAATTTTGTATTATGACAGTTGGTTATTCAGGTCAACATATAGGATATTTTTTACTGCAAGAAAATTCTCATCTCTGAAAAATCTATACTAACCGTTAAAACGTATCTAGGCACGAACCCGAGCGGAGCGAGGGTGAATCGCTAGCATTAAATAATTTTATACCCATACAGACATCAATTTCACATAAACTTACCATCGCTTTCCTCGGGTGCGTTACCTAATTCCTTTTGGCAAATTAAATTACCAAAAGTTGCCTATATGTCATTCCAGGTCACAGTCTAAATACTTCATCCAAATCCATCTAGTTTCAGCGCGAAGAAAAACAAACATACATACATACAAACTTTCGCATTTGTTAAAGACGTGTGATTAGTAAAGCTAACATAAAACTACAATTAAAAATTTCAGATTAATACGCGAAGAAGAATGTAACATATTACAGAACTTGTCACGCGATGAGTTCCGCGAGTTCCGTACACTCGTCATCGACATGGTGTTAGCTACGGACATGTCCTTCCATTTCCAACAATTGAAGAACATGCGGTCCTTGTTATCTCTAGCTGAGCCTACTGTGGATAAGTCTAAAGCCGCGTCTTTAGTGCTCCATTGCTGCGATATATCACATCCAGCTAAGGTTAGTGTTCTTTTTTTTTATTTTTCCTTCAGACATGTCCAATATTTACACACGTGCACGACACGTTTGGCTCAGTTTGTAGTTACCGTACTTGTTGTACCAGCGGTCGCGGGTTCTAGTCCCGCTGGGGGCATTCATTTGTGTGATGAGCACGAATATTTGTACTCAGTAGTCATGGGTGTTTATATTTATAATATGTATTGTACGTATTTAAAGTTTCATATGTGTAGTGTATCAGCATAACAAAAGCTTACCATGGAAAAATGAAAAATTATTTATTTGTCTTACATAAAATAAACCGAATAAAAATAACTTTTCAGAGGTGGGACCTCCACCACCGATGGACTATGAGTCTCCTCGACGAGTTCTTCCTTCAAGGTGACAAAGAACGTGAACTCGGTCTACCATTTAGTCCCCTCTGCGATAGAAATAATACACTTGTCGCGGAATCCCAGATCGGTTTCATAGATTTCATTGTAGAACCCAGTATGGCAGTTTGTGCGGACATGTTGGAATGTGTTTTGGGACCGTTACATTCAAGTACTAAGACCTCTAGTAGTTCTGGACAGGAGTCTATTAGTGAAGAAAGCACAGGTACGTAGGATTTTTAGTTACATGGGAATTTATACTGTAACGCTCTGTCCACACTGCGATATTTCACAGCACGTTTTTTCGCGCAATTCTGTAACAAATTGAATATTTTAGGAGCAACCGCAATTGTGGTTAAAAATTCATGCGGAAAAAAAATCTGTGATATCTCAAGACCGTCAATGAATGAATTCAATGTTCGTGGCATTTTTTAATAGGTCTGTCACGCTGCCGCCGCCGTAGTATTACCTAAAATAAATGTCTGTTATTCATTTAAATTTTTAAGGCGTTCGTCTCAGCTGGGAACTGCATCGAACTGACAAAAATCGTACGAAATTTTATTCGAAATTGGCAATATCGTATAGTATAATTCCGAATATATAACATGAGAATAAAAATCGCACGGTGAAACATCTCAGTGCGGACAGGGCCTAAATGTAATTTAAATTTTAAAATAGACTACCATTTTTGGTGAATAACTACTTCGTGCTAATTTCACCCATTTAAGGAATGATTTCCGAGATAAAACTATCCTATATCCTTCCAAGGATCTCAAACTATCTTCTTACCGCATCTAAATCGGTTCCGTAGTTTTGGAGCCTATTCAATACAAACAAACAAAAATACATTTTTTTTCTCTTTATAATATTATAATAGATATTGAAAAATGCTCTATGTTAACGGTCCATAAATATCAAAACCCCATGAGTTATGAAAATGGTACAAATTGTTTGCCTCCCCAACAATATCACTAGTTGTGTCAATTAAAGCTCTCCATAACAGGTAAAAAAAATCGACCTTTTTCACAAAAGTGATCAAATAGCATAGTTCTCATACATATTTATACTTTATTTTACAGCGGAAACAAATAATAAATTCAAAATCAAGAAGCCATGGGTCACCTGTCTCATGGATAACAAGAAAATATGGAAGGAACAAGCTGCAAAAGGTAATAAATTGAAAAATAACGCATACAATTTTATAAATAAAGGTTTTTTAAGACATCTCTAAAGATGGCTGTCTAATACAGTAGTATCTCTTCTGGCTATGTAATCTATAATAATAATTATTATTATTATTTTATTTCATTTAACAACAAGTACATGATAGTATACAAGGTTTAAACCCTCTTTTAAGTAACAATACCTGTGACAGAGGATTTCTATAAAGGCCTATATTTTTTTTCAACAGTATCAAATAAATTATAATGCAGAATATAATATTATTATGGCGGATATATTAACAAATAACAAGAAGACCTAAAAGAAATTACCTGTGTACATAAAATACAAGAAAATTATTTTTCTTTAATTTATGTAATAAATCTTGCGACAACAAAAAAGACTTATATTTTCATTATATTATATTAAAAACTCTAAAAAAAGTACAATAAAATCATTCTTCAGATGCAGAAGCCAGAGCCAAACTGGAAGAAGAGACGAATGGCACTTCACAGCCTACAGACGAATAATATTTAGCCTCCCTTGTAAATACCGTGAAGACAACTTGTTGCAACATGTTCCATTCATTGTTCAACAAAGTCTAAATAAAATAAACATTAAATTAATAAACATATATTTGTCATATTTATTGTTCGCTTCGCTATTGTGTTCGCACAAATCGTGTGGAAGTGTTTCTTTTTTATCGAAAGTGGTGTGTGAGTTTTTGTTATTAATATTATTAATTATTATAGATCATTTATATTTTGTTATTTTTTAATAGTTTTACAAATGTAGTTAAAGATATACTCGTACATATATACATGTAAAATAGAAATAAATTAACTATAGTGTCGGCAAAAAATATGAAACTCAACACTTACGGTATATAGTACCTAAGTGTTGAGTTTCATATTTTTTTGTTAATAGCCATTTTTTGGGTTATATTATAACGTGTTTTCCCGTTTCTCCAACTATCTCCACACAAAAAATCATGCCAATCCGTCACTCTGTTTCGATGTGAAAGAAGGACAAACAAGCAAACACACTTTCACATTTATAATATTAGTACAGATATTTCCAAATAATATTAATTTACACATACATATATACATAAGGTAAAGAAGAAACAAATTCCCATGTCACTTATATTATGCACAATGTACGCCCGATGTATATTCTCTATGTGGAAGACAACGTAGTGAGTATTATTACAGGCCGTAGAGCGGCCGCGTAGTGTACAAAGTTAAGTAACTTTAAATATCTATTATTTCATATTGGTTTGCTCTTCATTACATTTTGTGATGAGGTGAAAATTATGTTTTTTTAATAGTAAGTCTAGGTTCTAATATTCTAATATCTTATGGGATGATTGATGAGGATTTAAAACTCTATGGTATTTTCTAACCCATTATCTAACTCTTTAGAAAAAAATCACGTCGATTCGTTACTATGTGGAAAAAAATTATATAATTAATGGTAACGTCACTCTATCAAACTTATTGTTCGTGTTCGATTAAATTTAATAAGAAATTGTTAAAAAAATAATAATCTCAGGAAAAAGAATTCGTTTTTGATATTATATATACCTACTGTACATAATGAATTATGTATATAGATTTCTTTTATATACCTTTTTATTTTTTCGTAATCATTACATAATGTATCAATTAAATGGAGATGAATCATGAAAATTGGAAAATATTACTACTGTTGGCACTGACTAGATTTCCCTAGTGGCTGTTTTCCGAACTAACGAATAACGATGGCAGCAGAATATGGGATCGTGGGCAAAATGTAAAGGGCAGCACTATTGTCGCTCTAATGTTTTATTACCGAAGACAGCGAGATCAAAACGTTCATTTGTAAATACAAAATATTTATATAAATGGACAAAATAATAAAATATGGATTTTAACCAGTTAACAATAATATTTTACATAGTCAGAATAGTGAGAAAGGTAAAAAAATATTCAAGTCCAACCATGTTTATGGTGTAGTAGAATGATTCAAAGAAGTAAAAAAAGTGAAATTGTCTTAACCGCAAAAATTATACCACAAACGAGTGTGTTAAATGTTTATGATGTAAATATTATGGTATGTATAAAAAACTTTAAATTCTTGACATTATTGAAAAATGATCCCAAAGGCTTAAGGTGTTTGCCACTGGTGTAAAAGTCTGGATTATATATAGACCATCGTTCCCTATACAGACTAAATAGTTGCTTCATCGGTCGAAGTTCTTTCTGCGACTTGCTAATAGGGCATTTCCTATCACTATTAATTGATATTCCCATTATTATGGTATAATTAGATATAAAAAAATTATTATTATTGTCCATTATTGTCTGTAAAAAAATATTAAAAGTTAATATTCGCCTCATCACTAAGTCTAATGAAAGCAACGAGCAGGACTCGAATGTAAAGTTACCCGCATTAGTGTATATAGATTGATTTTATTTATTCGATATTTAGACACTTATTTTTTGTATTAAATAGTTAATAGATTTGTGTTAATATAAGCTTATTGTACCGTTTTGAAATAACATTATGTAATTAATATTTAATTCTCCATAAATTCAGTTATTAAAATAAATTTATAAAAATAATATTTTACAACAGCCTTTTCCATTTAATAATATCTAGTCTGTACAAATTAGAACTTTTGATTCTTTATATAGCGTCGAATATAGTAGATACCTATATGTAATATCTTTCCGTACAAAGACTTGTATCTATGTTTTTTAATCGAGTATGTATAGTGAAACTCATAAATATTGTAAAAGACAATTTTACAAATAGTAATAGTTCTACTTGTAACAATATATAGATTATAGTATAACAATTGATTACACTTAAAAAAGTAAATTTTATATATTGCAAATAACATGCAACTATAGTAAGTGCACTCAGATATGGCAATATAAAATTTACTTTCGAAAGTGTAACTCAAGTGTAGGTTAACACTTAGACTAAGAAATTACACTTCATCATTAGAAAATTCTATAGAAAATCCATAGAAAACATAATTTATGTAATATTTCAAATATAAATTAGATTCTAAGAGCCAATGTATAATAAACTGCTGGTGTCGGAGCAAAACATATAGACTTTGCATCTTCTTTCGATGAAAATATATTATATATGTATCAATATTATTAAACTTGTGACGTAGTTGTAACTTTAGTATTAATTAACCCATAATATAAAAAATACGCTTATTAATTTTAATATTTCCGATTAAATTGGAGTCCTGATATTCCCTGACCAAGTGTTATTGTCATCGTTTTGTAAATTATTAAAAATCATCAATCATAGTCATAGATAGAGGAATGTAGATATTTGGGTTTAGGACGTTTTGCTTTTGGCTAAGACATTGTAGATCATATTTTCAATATCCATTCTAAAACATTCAAATCTGGGTTTTAAAACTTTTAGACTGAAATTCAGAGGTATATTAGGTGAAGATCAGGAAGCAACAGTTGTTTGAAGGACCCAATATAACCGTCCTTTTAGGTCTTTAACATGAGTAATGTCATTCGTCCTAACACCTACCGTCGCGTCGATAACCATTACTAAACAAAACACTAATCGTAATTCGATATTAATTGCACCCGTTCCTTGAAATCAATAATTGGCCAACATTGTTTGTAACGAATTCAAACGATTTTTATGCCAAATTTTGATATCAGTATAGCTTGCTTCGCATTTATATAGCGTTTTAAATATTGATGCAACGTGTACGTACCTATTAGGGAAATTTAAATTATTATTATGAGATATTTGGACTCGACCGAAGAACAAAAACACATCTGCAGGAACACTTTATTTACATTTCTTTTTTTTTATGGTTTACTTAATATATTTTTACTTAATGGTTTTTTACATAGCCACCACCCGTCAAGGCGACAAACGGGCCAAGGGTGTTAATATATTTAAAAGGCATAAAAAATAACTTACAAACATATCAGTGTTAACACAAACTAAATTGTTAAATTCTCCATTTTCATTTGTTAAAATCCAAAAGAAAATCGTTTCTTTTGATGTGATTTTGCTCTACGTTTACTCAAGGTACATATTCCAATAGTAGGAGAGCCCAAGAGAAAATTTTGTGATTTACTCAAGCGCGGCAGATTACCATAACAAATTAAATAAAATCTTCCGTAATATGGGCGATTTTTGTTTCTTCGGCTTGTGGAAATCGGTAGATTATTGAATTACACACTTTTCAGGATGTAATTAGCCCACCACACCTTAATCTGACGGTTTTAAATTATAAAAATATTTTTTTAATATTCTGATTGGCTGCCCTAGACGCGCGGCCTTATACAGAGGACTTATATATGGTGGAGGTACTCAACATAGTGCAAGATATCCCTTACGTTAATCTGCCGCGCTTGAATAAATCCCAAAAATCCCCTCTTAGGCTCCCCTACTACAATACCTAGGTGAAAACACTTAAAACAACCAACCTAAAAAATTGTATCAATGGCCTAGTTCTCCAAACAGATACGTGGGACCATTCTCTATGAAATATCATGACAAAACCATAATCAAATTATTTTAGGTCCCTTTGAATGAACCCAGGGATGGTAAGGCTAGATTATAACCAACTGGTACGCTTATCAAAAAGATTGTACAATAGATCTTTTATATATATTTATCGTCTATAGAACATATTGACTCTATGTATTGTGCGTTTATGTACTTAGCGATTAAAATAGTAAGTAGTTGATGCCATTCGATCGGGATTATAGCTTTATAAAGTGTAGTGTTAACTTTTAAGTGGTTATTTACACTTGGGTAATAAACACTTTCATGTTAAAAAATAAAATTTCTTATATTCTCCATCTTCTTCTCTATTTACCTATCTATATATTATTAAGAATACTTACAACAATATTTTCTCTATAAATTATTGCAAATGTAGTAAATAGAAGTAATGTGTTTTTTACCCAAGTGTACTAGTAACATAATGTACCTAATAGTTTAAATTATTTTCTTCAAAACTAGCCGCAATATTTAATATAAATGATGTAGGAAGCAAATCATAATAATAAGTTTTCGTGGAATTTATTTCCCCACTCTACCTAAACCTATCATTAGACTAAAGATAAGACATACATATAAATAGCAGCTATAAATATAATTGTTAAAGCTTCTAGCATTTTGTATATCAATTTACGAGCTTGTGCTCAAACCCTTTCATTTATGTATTTAAAATAATAACTTGATGTAATAAAAATTAATTAAATTAAAATATATTACAAATATCTGAATAAATTATGGGGTTAAATATATTTCGAATTTTGAAATTCAATCCTGTATAATTATATAATTTTTGACTTAAAATATAATATATTAAAAAAAAAATTAAAAATTATAAAAATATTACTGCTAAATAAAGTAAAAGTTAAATTCTAAATGTTATTGTGTATAACATAATTAATCAAACACAAAGCCTAATATCATTTTCTTTCCACATAATAGTTGTCTATCACAAAATGTATTTTTTATTGATTTATTCTTTTTCTACTTGTAAATAATAAACTAAATCTTGACATATGTGTAAAATATTTAAAAAGTGAAAATAAAGATTTTTCGTAGAAAAATTGTTTTATTTATCCATTTTACATGGTCTTAATATCATACATATTCATCGAAGCACCATTGAGATATTAATAATACATAAGTTTCAGCATAATAATAAAGCTGCATCTCTTTAGATCAGAAAGATTTTACCTTGTAAAACATTTTATGACAGTAATTTTTAAGTAAATTATTGTAAGTAAGAGAATTGAATTGAATTTTTTGTATAAACAAAAAATTTAATTCAATTCTCTTGTTAATGGCTTCAAGGCGTGCCAGTTGAGCACAGACTACTTCGCCAATGTCATGTAGATTAGAGAAGATACAAAGACTGGTCAGTAAAATGTGTCGCAGTTAAATACTATGTTATATGTCATTTAAGAAGTTGATTCACAGCACAAAATTATAAATCAATTGTAGAAACTAAATTATAAATCTACAATACTCTCACTACTACAATACAAACATTTTAGTATTATATAAAAATGATAGCAACAGCTATGTGACAATTAAAGAACATCACTTCTTGGTCATCTTGTTCCATTGATCATACTTGTTTTTATCATAAGAGTACAGATTGTGTAAGAAAATACTACAGATTTTTAACATATCAATTAGTTCCTATTCATATCACAAAAAGAAATTACATAAATGAAAGTCAAACTTTCTATGCCTTAAGCCTTGCAATAAGCAACCTTTAATACTTAATGCAACCTAATATGGTAAGATTTTAGTGCTACAATTACAATTAGCTAAGAATAAACTTATGGGTTTTTCCAAATACATCAATTTGTACTGTTAAAGCTCTGACATCTGTTTTTTGTCTATTACAAGTAATGGTGCCCTCAATAACATCACCCTTTTTAACTTCTTTACAGTCTCGGAAAAAGAAAACTGTTTGCTTCCAATGAGTAGGGGTCTTATGTGGACCAGTTGTAAATGAGATATTATGAGGTAGATCAAAAAATGTATCAAAATAACCTACAAGTGAAGTTAAGACACCATCACTTGTAATTGGTAGCTTAAATTTGGATGTAAAGTTAACTACTTCAGTATTACAAGTGTATATATCAATTTCTTTTACAACACAAGGTTCTGAAATTATGTGTTTTGATGGAACTACATCTATACTTGCTTCTCGAACCACTTCAGATTTCATGCAATTCATTTTATAACCATAAACATCTGACCAGAATTCTATTAACTTTTTATGGGTTTCTACATCACCATTAGCTACAAGGCTTATATTGCATTTATTGGGCAGTAATAGGCCACCAGGTTTTAGATAGTGATCTCTTGCATAAATGACGCTATCTAACATGCCCTCAAATAGCAAAAAGTATCCCATCCATTCAGATACTATTATATCTACTTTATCTGGTAATTTTGTATTTTCTAACCTGCCTTTTACTGTTTTTATTGTATTCTCTAAGTTATTCTCTCTAATTATATCCATTGCATGGTAAATAACTTCGGATTGATCCAATGCATACACTGTTTTGGCCCCTGCAGTTGCACAAAACATTGATAAGATACCTGTTCCACATCCAAGATCAAGTACGAATTTATCTTTTAATGTGTCCTTGTTATTAAGAATAGCATTCCTATATGATTCTGTGCGAACTTTATCAGAGAGCATATCATAATGAATGCCGAAATGAGCATAACTACTAAAATAACCCTCATCACATTCTAAAGGAACTTTTGAAACACAGTCTACTACGATTGTGCTATCACCTCCATTATTGACAGAACCTCCATCCACAATAGTCTTCATGGACTCTTGCATTTTGCCCATATCTTCCTTTGCCATTTGAAGATGAGTTTGACTTTCTTTTAACTGCTCTGTTAAGTTTTGTATAGTTCTTTGGAGTTCCGTAAAGTGCGCTTGAGATAACGTGACTAGCCCATTTTCAACATTTGCATGATAAGTTTTAGGTGAACTTGGTTTATCAGTTATGGAATCAAAGTCATACATTAACCATTCATCATTGTCCACAGGCTTCAGATATTTTTCATCATCCCAAAGAGCTTTCTCTGCATTCATAATTTCGTCTGAGCTCGGCTTGTGAGTTTTCAAGTAATTTATTAATTTAATGTACGAGTAACAGTCCATACTGAATTTGATTTTTAACATATTTAAATTAAACTTATGAACAGTTTCACAGTGAGATACAGTTTCCTCGATAGTCGAAAATATATTAGGACAAAATAAACACGTTACAGACACATCGCTAGTTTCCATTTCTTGCCACTCATTTTCATCAAAGTGTTCTTCATCAGAACTTAAATCTGGCACATCAGACATTTTAATAAGTGGAAATTGCAACGAGTTTAATTTTCAATATTAAAAACCACAATTACAGCTTAATTTGGCGTACTTTCAAAACCATGTGGTAAATATTTAATGACAATTTAAAGTGACAAATGACAATCGAATTGAACTGACAATAATGAAATTTGACATAGAACTATGGCCATATTGCCAGCATGAATTATGTAAATGTATGAATGAAACTGAATGATATTTTAAATGTAGCTTAAAATAAAATATTAATAATTAAATTACATATTTCTATAAAGTAAATTTTAATTAATATACCAATTTATAATTAAAAAATATTTACTTGTTACCATTTGATAAAAATATAACCAGACAATGTGTATGATAATGGTTGCCGTGACTACCAATAAATAGTAAGCATTAGGGAAAATAAAGAAATTTTCGTCTCCATTATGAAATTAAAACTTTCGTTTCATAAAGAGCCAAAACACTCTGGAGTTGTTTCGTGTGTAAGCTGGAATAACACAGAAGACGTTTTTTCATGCGGGTAAAATCTAAAAGCGTACAATGTTTAAACTGATACCTATGGTCCTTTGATAAAAAATATTAAATGGCCCATAAAATCTTTTCAGAGACGACCATAAGCTTTTAAAATGGAATCTCGTAAATGGAGAATGTTTAGTAGTAGCAATATTTCCAGCAGATTTTTATCCGACTTGTATGCATTTATTTCCGAAAACCAATATTAGCAGTAACAAGCATCAGAATGATGTAATTTTAATCGCATGCGCTGATGGCAAGTGAGTATGATTTAAATATCTAATGAAGATTTCTCTCTGAATTCTGTTACTGGCTATTCTATTCTGATTACACTGGGGCTGTTTAGCTTCACTAAAGTCATATTCCCAAGGAGGGTTGATGTTAGGCAGGCAGCCGGTCGTAAATTTTTTGCCAAATCCATCAGCAGTACGGAAAATGTACTGCGCCTACCCCAAGTAATTGGGAAATGGGTAGGGAAATGATGATGACGTACTGATGCTTTTTAAATTAAATTGATGATTGAAAGTGCTAGTCTAATTGAATAAAGTTTAATTTCATGTGATTTCAATAACACTATCGCTTGTGTAAAAGATAAATGCTTATATAAGTATACTTACCTAATATATTTTTTGCGATAGTTCCATTAATTACAATTCATAATATAAGCTCAAGCATAAATTATACTTGTAATTTAATACTGATTGATAGAGTGACATAATATTATTATATATAATAACCTATATAGGTAGTATTTATATTTTATTTATATATTGTAGATTTCACATTGTTAACAATAATGGCCGTATAGAAAAAACTGTAAATGCTCATCAAGGTGCTTGTTTAGCTACACAATGGAGTCCTGATGGAGCTGGACTTCTTACGGGTAAATTGTTATTCTCTAGTACAGTAGGTACAAAAATTTGATTGTATGTATAGTTTATTGCAGGTGATAAGCAATAAAAATATATCTGCAGTAATTAAATGACTTCTTGAAATATATTATCAATTACTTACATAGTGATTTGCAAGTTTTTTAAATATTAATTAATAATAAATAAAAAGTCACAATAATATATTTTTCTAGCTGGGGAAGATGGTTTTATAAAAATTTGGTCTAGAAATGGCTTACTGCGGTCTACTGTTATACAATCTGACGTACCTTGTTATGGTGCTATATGGAGTCCTGATAGTAACGCAATTTTATATACAAAAAGCAACACACTTATTATTAAAAGTTTAAATTCAAACTCAAAGATAAATAAGGTAACGTATACTTGGATTATTGTTAAAATTACCTAATCAGTTTACAGATACAAAAACAAATATTAATGTTTTTTTATTGTTAAACATTTAAGTGGAAGGCACACGAGGGTATTATATTATGTGTAGCATGGAACGCCAATAATAATTTAATACTTTCTGGTTCTGAAGACGGTTATTCCAAGGCAAGTATAATGTATAAAAACGATACTTTAATATCTACAAGCAGCATAATATTTTGTTATAATTGTTATGTTTACTTTACGTAGATTTGGGATTCATTTGGTCAGCAAATATCGGTTAGTGTGAAACACGATCAGCCTATAACTAGCGTTAGCTGGTCACCAGCTGGAGATATGTACATAATCGGCAGTTATAACTTAATACGATTATGTAACGCTAATGGCGTAAGTAACTTGATAATATTTAATAGTAATTACATTATACTGGCACAAATCACAATTAAACAAAAAACTCGGTACACTGCCATAGGTACACATTTATAGGGTTTAAAATCATATTTTAAATATCTATGAACAAAAAAGTGCATGTGTATTGAGTACACGTGTTAAAAGTGAAACTTCATTGGTTATTTATATTTCAAATCTGTAAGATTAATAAATTAAGAAAAACCTTTAATATTACATTCAGACAAAATTATGAATTAAACGAGTATTATTATATCTCTTTCTATCTAGCTGGATTTTTACATCATCGCATATACTCTAAGCAATCCCGTGACGCATAAGTGATGCAAGTGTCATGAGCATGACGGTTTTTCGTGACGATTTCTCATGACGCGACCTTGAAATTTTACTCTCATGTTTATGTGATACGCGCAACAAAGTTTCAATGAAATACTTTTAAGTTTAAAAAGTATATATGTAATGAAAAACACTGTAATACTAAAAATATTTATTTCTCCTTTAAATATAATATTTAAACAAAACGTCGTTAAGTTTTAATTGAACGAAAGTTATTCTATAAATTAGGTCAATACACAGCTGTAATAAGAAACTTGAAATTGGATAATAATGAAAATAGGTACATATTAATATTTATAATAAATATTGAATATATTATATATTTTTTTTAAGGTAAAATTTTGATTTCAGTGGTCCCATTGTCTCGACCGACCATCAACAGGCAGTATCTACAGTATTGCGTGGTCTTCCGATGGCACACAATTAGCCGCTGCATGCGCTAATGGCCATGTCCTGTTTGCACATATAATTGACAGGTTTATAAGATTTTCGTACAATTCTGTGATATTTGTGTGATGTCATACTGCTAATAATATTCAACAAAATACGCTTCCTATATTATCAATAAAAAGTATTTTTACGTGTCTAGCTTTGAATCATATTCTTTAATGGCTGAAGCAAAAATATGTTTTTCTTTAATTTTTCTCAAACTGTAATTTTAACTATAACTTAAAAACTGTAATTTTTTGCGACATAACTGAGATATTTTTTTTTAATTTTCAAGGGAAATCCTTTTAAAATATGGTTCATATAATTTAGCAGATCGTTTTCAACAAAAGATATTTATTATTTATAGAGAGTACACGTGGAAGAACTATGTATGCACCCAAACTGGACGTAAAGTGGTATCCATTAAAGATTTGTTGACAGATCAAAACGATCAGCTAGACTATCCGGATAGGGTGATTCAAATAGCATTAGGTTTCAATCACCTGGTCATAGCTACGGTTAAACAATGTTTCATACATAAATTGACTTCTTGGAACACACCTGTGACTTTTGATTTGAAAGAAGGAACTATAAGCATGATTCTTCTAGCGGAAAGGTAAATATTTTTAAAATTTTATTGTCATTTTGGATCGACAGGAAGTACGAATTATTGAATTATATATTATACGAACTATTATGCATGCAGATACACCTCCAAATAGTGTCTTTAACCGACTTAATATTATATCTATAATACATATAATAAAATGGTAACTAAGCCGAATCTGTAAATTAAATATTTTTTGGAAAATCTTATTGAAATAGACATTATTATCGATACAGAGGCCGAATGAATAATTTTTTAAAACTTTGTCTGTCTGTCTGCTACTGCATCACGGAAAAACCACTGAAGGGATTTGCAAGAAATTTGGTGTGATGATAGCTGGTTATCCAGGTCTATATATAGGATAGGACTTTTTACTGCGGAAAAATATCTCATGCGTAATCTATACGAAACGTTAAAACGTAAGCAGGAACGAGCCCGAGCGGAGCGAGGGTGAGTCACTACTATGACAAAAAAATGTGCTAGATAAAATATGAATGACCTAATAAACTACTCTACTAACCTAAGACCTAGGACGGGCATCTTAAGTACCATTTGGAAATTGTAATCATCAAAGTAGGACTACAAGCCGGAACCTAAAACTAGTACCATTTCTAATTACAATATTATATACTAGATCCTCCCTGGGCTTTGTTCATAATATGTTTACGTTTAACCTACCATTACTTATACACACTCAAATGCTATAATAATTATTAGAGACTGATTAGAATAAAAGTTATGTGATTGTATGACTTTTAAATTCAAACTTTTATTGACCTTTTGATAGGACCGTTATAAATCCAGTAGTTTAGTTTAGATCGCAAATAGGCAAATAGACAGTCGGACAAAAGTTAATGATTTATTCGAATTCGAGGCTCCTAAAAGAATCCTAAATATCTGAACGATGAATGAACTCACACATTTTTCATATAAACTTTTGATAAATAATTTTGACCCCGCAATTTTCTTATACGTGTATATAAAACTACTTATTTTAGATGCATATGCGTAATAGAAAGAGCTGGTATCTCCGTATACAGTTATATGGGACGTTTACTTGCGACACCTCGATGTGGATCACGACCCGAAACACTTGGACGTGCTGCAGTTTCTCTTGGACCCGACTCGTTTGCTATGGTTGATCAGGCTGACAGAAAGAGTGAGAATATTATGCATGTTTTCCGTATTTTTCTAAAATGTGCTTAAAATCTAGTCTAGCTAACCCTAATACGTTAGCTTACATATAATATATCAGTTAAAGACAACGGATGAAGTGGGCTATGAGAGGGTCAGCTTTCACAAATGACGACTTAATTGGATCTTCATTTTAAATAAATATAAAACATAAACTTACAGTATAATATTATTTTGAAGTGTTTATAGAATCCTTCACATCTAGAAAATCAACATATACGTTTTATTTATTTACTAAAAATTGAAATATGATATAATATGAAAAATTATTAATTTTAGTAATTTACGTATATGATTTGCCTACTGGATTGATTGTACGAAGTTCAACTGACAACACAGTGACCAAGCTGTTGCATAAAATGACTGTATCAAACATAGCATTAAGTCAAACTGGACCGATTAATGAAAGGCAAATAGCATTGCTAGATTATAATAAGGATCTGTACGTTATTACTGTCAAAGACCCTAAACCGAAGTTTGTAAAATTAGGTGAGACTTTTAAAATTAACATTTTTTAATTATTTTTTTGAGAAATTAAGATTTCGAGTAACGCAACAGTTTTCTTAAGAAATAATATGATCTTCAGTTAAAAACTCTTTACTATTTTTAGTAAATAATTGTTTTTTGGATTATATGCTTTAAGTTTAACGTCCAAGGTAATTTAATAACCAGTTTCTGTATTATATTAAAATATTTTCCAAAGGTTCTCAAGTGCTAAGTATAACTTGGAGCGCGGATACAGAGTTGTTAGTGGGTTTACGAGCGAGTTCTGTAGTCGCGTGGTGCTGCGCGCGTGCCGCCACGCAACCTGATTGGCTAGCATTGACTACTATCAGTAAAGATATTAGGTAAAACCGCTATCTTTATCTGGAGATATAATATTATGTATGGTTTATAGCGACAAAATGGAAATTGGTAGGATGAAAAAGAAAGAGGTCATGTTCGTCATGTCAAAAGAATATCATACAAGGATCTTATTTCGAGATTTTTTCCGGATAGGTATTTTTACTGTCGCTAAAGTCGTTATTCTTTTTCTTAGTTCTAATTTACATATAAAATATTAAATAATTTATACAAACTTTCGATCATGAATCGTCATTCGTCATTAATTTCTATCTACTCCACTTCAAGATCCTACATTGCTGAAACAAATAGTGTGTGTATTCTGTCTCCAGAATTTTGAGAGTTCAAATTATACTTTTTTCCAGTGATTTAGGCAGAAATCCCAGTATAGTAAGTATCGTGGACGGTATAGTCTGCATATGCCGAGGAAATGGCTCCCTATTACATTTATCACTTGCACCATTCCCCGAGAAGCTATTGAAACATGTTGCTAGTAATATGTGGCAAGAAGCCTTACAGGTGAATACAAAAATTATATTTTATGCAGTTTCAAATATATTTATTGTATTTATAAAACCACAAGTTTTTTGATGAGAGAAAAAAGTCGTAACAATTCAATGTCAAATCGACACGACGCTGCAGAATTACACATAATTATAGAAAATGAATATGCCATTGTTATAAAAAGTAAAGAACCCACTATAATTAATATTTTATCACAAGAAGTAATAAATAATAATATATTTATAGTTATGCCGTACGGTCGAGGATGAGACATTATGGGCATGTCTTGCAGTATTGGCGTGGCAATATAATCAGCTAGCGGTAGCTGAAGAGGCATTTGCTTTGATACATCAGTATTACCAAGTCTGTTATATACAACATTTAAGGGTATGTACAAGTGATGAATCATTTTCACCAGTATTTAAATAATTACTTTTTTTTGAAATATATCCCGGTAAGTCCCCATCCATTACCACTAAATTGGATACCCAGTCAATTTATGCTCACTTAAATTATATTTTTGAGATTATTTGAAAGATTTTCATATGTTTTTAGTTTATTATATTTTCTGGGCAATAAAAATAACAGACAAAAAAAGTTTTATTGTATTTCTAGAATAGGAATTATTTTTTTATTCTTATGTCCCTAGCTTTATTTCATTATTGTTGCAGAGTTCTATTCCCGAGAAACTATCAACGTAAACGTAACTGAAACGTTTATATTAAGACTTTGTAATTAAATAAATATTTTGCAGCGACATTGTATTTTTTTTAATTATCAGTTTTTCTCTGCGCTGATTGACCGTAACATACTACTGTTTAGAAATTAAGCCTGTTTAGAAATTTTAAAGAGTCTCAGATATAATGTATTAAAATGGTCATTGAATTTAGTCAGATTAAACAGTATATTTTGTGAATAAAGACATGGAGGTTTCTAAAGCTTCTACATTAATTTAGCTGCACAAGGTAATGGTAGAAAAATCTGGTGCTTAAGTCTCTTATGGTGGTAAAAATTTCGAAGCTGTTTCGTAACTCGTATATTTTGATTCAAAAATTCAAGCAACAAAATTGAAGCTACTACTAACTTTCTCAGTTTTCGGTTGCATCTTTCTTAAGACACCTTCGAATTACATAGTTATTTTGTTTATTTGTTTTGTTTATTAGGATAATATCACCTCCAGGTAAATTTCTAAGAAATTAATTAAAATTCTAAGAAATCTATTACTAACTCACACGCCGGCGTGTCCGCGGTCGTGGAGGGAATATTATATTTTTCCATTTTATATTTTTTTCTTTTAACAAATCTATTTATTTTAGGTGTGGTGCCAAATGCCATACCATTGAAATATAACGTAGTATTTCTTACTATATGAACGTTAGATACTTTTAATTAATCATTTATTTAGTATTAGTTATACTTTTTATAAAATCTAATAAGACGTAGGCTGAAGGCTCAATTATTTATTTCATTCATTCATTCAAATGTAAGCAGCCAATCGCGTTACTGTTCTTCTCTGACGCTTTTGCCTCACGTCACGACTCACGCCATAAAAAAACAGTACCAGTAGCAATATACTCTATGAACAGTACCTACCTATCTATCAAGTATCCACTAACCACTTGCTCTTGCCATGCTAGTAGAAATGTCATTATTGTAAAGAGTACGTGTGCTGTCCATGAATCGCGCTACTTTCGCGATTGTATTATATTTTAAATATTACTGTAAACTACAATGAAACTTACTTTAATAACTAAAACAGTATATATTCCATTGAATTGTTGTGGAATTTAATAACATCCTACTGTTTAAATGCAAGTAAAACGCGTCCCAAATTAAAAAAGTAGTTGAGATTCGCGAAAGTTTTTATATTGCATAGCAATTCTAATGGCCCAAGATGCATGCATCAAGTAGAAGTGTAGTGATATTTGTATGTATTTTATTTGGTGTAAGTGGAAGTGAAAATGAGATTGCGAGCGAACATTCTTTGGAGTTGACCCAGTCCTTGAACTTGGCGCGTCAGGAACTTATACAGGAGAAGTGCGCGCGCCTTAACTTGAAATGGGGGCTCGATGATCTTCCACCAAATCAACTGGAACATATCTTAGTTGATGATGAGCATAAGCTTCTTTACTGTTATGTGCCAAAGGTGAGCATGGTCAAGGTGAACAAGTATGTATCTAATTACTTGTTGTCTATTAAATCGTGTTTAAATAAACTAACGTCATTGGTTTTTTCCTAGAAGTTAGTATTGTGACAAATTTTTCGCGGTGATAAATATTTTTTACGAATTTTTAGTTTTGTATTTGGCAAGTTTAATATCCTATATAAAATATTCCTTGTTTATTTCACTTCCTTGAAAAAAGTAGGTGAGTAAAATGAGCCATTAAATCATTTAAAAACCTGTACCTAGTATTAAATAAATCTATTTGTATATTAGGTTTTAAATGTAGTGAGATCAGCTTTTCTGGAATTGATAATTGAAAAAGAGTAAATGTTGTAAAGCTTAAATGAAAATTTTAATTGTATACTTAAATGTGTAGTAAAAATTAGATGAAATTTATATTAACAACATACAGGTGGCCTGTACAAACTGGAAGAGAATACTCATGATATTAGCTGGAAAATGGAACGACACTGATGTTCTTTCTATTCCTGCAAATCTTTCTCATTCTCCTGGGATGTTCAGAAATCTCAGTTCTGTATCCAAAGAAGATAGAGATAAAATGCTTGAAAATTACCATAAAATGATCATAGTGAGGAATCCATTTGAAAGATTATTATCTGCATATAGGAATAAATTGGAAGGTGATTTGCCCAGCGCTAGATATTTTCAAGTAAGTATTAACAGCACTACTAACAAATAGATTTCAAAAGACATATTTTTTATTATTCTTTATATACTTTTTACCGTAAAATTGATATAGTTTTTCTTGTTTCAAATATAGGTAAACATCTAACTATAATAGATTAAAAATTCCTGGTGCCAAATTTACTGATCAATTATTTATACATATAATAAAAGTCTGAGTTGAATCTGTACATTGAATGGATTTTGGAAAATCTTATTGAAATAGTCATTATTAGCGATACAGAGGCCGAACCTGTAGTCTTTAGAATTTAATTATTAAGAATTTCTTATCTAAATTAGCAACTCACCCTCGCTTAGCTCTGGTTTGTTCCCAAATAATTCTTTAAATCAATATAACTTTTTTATTTATGAATTTGATTGAAATAAAAAAATACTAAATGTTAAGTGAAGGTTACCACAATACATTAGTAAAAACCGCACCCAAATCGGTTACACTGTTTCTGAGATTAGCAAACACAAACACACAGACAAATGGACATAAATTCTAATAATAGTGTATCTCAAATATCGTCTATACATACATACACACAGTGATCAGTTATACTTTTATTATATAAAGGTTTAAAAGCGTTCTTTCACAAAATACTATGGCTTATTTAAAAATTTTAGTAATTTGATTTAAAATCTAGATACTAAAATTTAGTTTTTTTGTCTCTAGAAGTTTTTAATACCTACTCGTGGGAATATTTTGTTATTAAAGTACATAATTAATTATACTGACCTCTTTTAGACAAATAAATAACATTTAATGATCTTTAGTCGCGCGATAACTGTTTTTTTTTTTCATAATAATTAATGTAAAGAATAAGCAAATATGAATGAAATATGTATGCAATTGTTACAAATTTAAATGGGTATATGATAGAGCATATTCGAATTTCACTGAGTCAACAATGGTTGTTGTTTTTAGCACGCTTTTACTAGCTCACCTATATCTATCTGTCTATACATATAATAAAATTGTAACTAAGCCGAATCTGTACATTAAATATTTTTTGGAAATTCTTATTGAAATAGACATTATTATCGATACAGAGGCCGAATCTATAGTTTTTAGAATGTTTGTCTAGTCTGTCTGTCTGTCTGTTACCGCATCACAGAAAAACTACTGGAGGGATTTTGAAGAAATTTGGTATGGTGACAGCTGATTATCCGGATCAAAATATAGGATACTTTTTACCGCGGGAAAATATCTCATTTATGAGAAAAAATGCAAAAATTGCAATGTAAAAATATATTAATCTGTAAAACCTAAGAATTTGATTTCTGGTTATCTGAACGGAATATTTAAACGCAATTTTTACCCACTTCAAAACTTCAGATTGAACTCAAATATTGCACATTTAACAAGGACCGATGACAATACAATAATTTATAAAAATAAATACTAACTCTACTTTTAGAAATCGTACCAATGGAATATTTCTAACAAATGATATTGAGCACCCGACGCTTTTTTCACAATAACATTAATTTTCTCGTTAATCACTTTATTCATAAACTAAAAAAGTAAGTTAAAGTTCAGTAGTCCTCGGCAATCCAGCCGGGCACGAAGCCAAGAAACGCACTGGGGAGGTGGCCCACCTCAGTGGGTGGTGTACAATGCGGATTGCTCCTGGTACTTCTCTGATAGCAGAGTGCACCGTGGAGTAACCCCATGGATGTCATGGTCTGCTTCGTCAGACCTGCCCTCGGGGCGTCGTGGTTGAATGCGTAAGCGATCCTGCGACGCCCCATTAAGACAGGGGAGGTTCCGTTGGGTTTTAGTGGAAAGTACTGGCTTTGCGGGTGAGTGCCCCACACTTCGTGCCTATATGCATTTCCCAACGTTAAAAAAAGGATAGTAGAGTATAGGGTCGATTGCCATCACTCCACACATTGTCTTATAGCCTAGTTACATCTATTTATCCTCCCAAGATAATGTACGTGCTATTAAAAAAATGTGCTAAGAAAACAGACCAACAAACAAATATTCTAAGATTAAAATGTAATGTAATTGATGTTATTGAACCATTTCTTGGTTGCAGACTTTGAATTCGCAAAATATACATCACATTTAACACTTTAATGTTTCGTTATTACTGTGATAACGTATTTAAAAAATATACAGACTTTTTACCGGATATGTCCTCCATAATTTTGAAGCCACTTATTTCGTTCTTTGATGTTAGAATTCATAATTTATCTCGCTTTTTTGTTCCCCTAAAATGAACGAAAGAGATAGATGTATTTGAGATTGGGTAAAAAGAGCGACCGAAAGTCAGCTTTTTATGCAAGTTAGTTAAATATTTTGGCAACGAGATATTTGGCCGATTTCACCAACGCCACCTAAGTTTAAGGGATCCCCTAAGCATGGTTAGGGGGCTGTTAGGGGACAGTTTCTGTTTCACCGACAGTTAGAGGTCGCCTAAATGTTAAAATACCACCTATATATAGGTACTAGAAATACGGGCTCTGACGATGGTAAAACGAAATTTAATTTAGGAGCTAGTTTAGGGGAACTTTTAAGCTAGGGATCCCATACGTAGGTTATATGTATATATTATGTATATATTTGGTGAAAACGGGCAATTATCTTGTAAATTATACGAGGACTTCTAAATAGTGCATCAAACTACCTAATATTATTTTTTACTATCGACTCACCCTCGCTACGCTCTGGTTCGTCCCTAGGTGATTCTTTAAATTAACATAACTTTTTTTATCTATGAACCGATTTAAATAAAACAAATACTAAATGTTATACTTTCTTAGATTTACGCGAATATTTGACATTTTAAATAAAACTATCTTTTCGGATTTTGTCGCGGATTTATTTGTATTTTTGTTAATCCTATATTTTATATTTTTCTTATGGTTATAAATATAATAATGGCAACACTAAATATATCTATATTAATTTGCTAATTAATATTTTTAAAATTGTAATAATTATAAAAATAATAGCAAAAATTTTTTTTTTTTTGGTTAAATCTTGCGATCAGTCTTTCAGACTATGAGCAGATGAGATGGTTAAATGGCATGTTAGGCTCTACTCCCAGTGGGGTCTGCCCTATCTTTACAAAGTCATTCTTCTTTCTGACTGTTCTGGTCGAAAAGGTCACGCCGCTTTTTTAATCGGCGGATGGTTTCCGGGATAGTAAGTTGTCCTGCTAGTTTGTTCGGATGCCTTAGCAGCCGGGATTTGTACTTTTCGCCATGTGTTTTTATCTCCTCATTGACCATAGGAATATTGAGGATTTCATGGATTTCTGTAGTCTTGATAAACCACGGTGCATTGGATATTTGTTTTAGTATATAATTTTGTGCCCTTTTCACTTTCATTATGTTGGAGGTACTGGCTGATCCCCAAAGTTGGATGCCGTATGTCCAGATTGGCTTTAGAATGGTCTTATATATTAGGAGTTTGTTATCTATCGCCAGTTTTGAGTTTCTTCCAAGAAGCCAGAGAAGACTTCTGTATTTCAGGTTAATTTCTTCCCTTTTAGTTTCGACATGTTTTCTCCATGTGAGCCTTCGGTCAAGATGCATGCCCAGATATTTTACAGACTCGTGATGTGGGAGTTGGCTGCCGTTTAGGGTAACGGGGTCACAATCATGTTTGCATAATGTAAACGTTATATGCACTGATTTGGATACGCTGGCTGCAATTCTCCATTTGGCTAGCCATTCTTCTGTTTCATTCAAGCTACTTTGTAAAATGCGAGATGCTTGTGTTGGACATTTGTGCGAGGCAAGTAAGGCAGTGTCATCCGCGAAGGTGGCAATTGTGATCTCGGAGCTTTGAGGTAGGTCGGAGGTAAACAGGGTGTACAAGACGGGACCGAGGACCGAGCCTTGTGGTACTCCTGCGGATATTTCATATAGTCGTGAGGTGGATTGGTTTTCTCTTACTTGAAATATTCTGTGTGTAATGTATGATTTTAGTACTCCATAGAATGTATGTGGTAATAGGGTTTTTATTTTGAAGAGCAGACCTTTGTGCCAGACTCTGTCGAAGGCTTGTTGTATATCAAGAAAGGCAGCTGAGCAGTATTCTTTTTTTTCAAAGGTTTTTCTGATCTTCCTGCACACTCTATGGACTTGTTCTATAGCATGTTCTTTTCGAAATCCGAATTGGTGTTCTGGGACAATTTTCTTCTCATTGAGAACAGGTAACATTCTATGTAGTAGAGACTTTTCGTACAGCTTGGACATAATTGGTAGTAGACTGATAGGTCTGTATGAGGTGACATCATGCATTGGTTTACCGGGTTTATGGATCATTATTACTTGTGATACTTTCCATATGTCTGGGAAGTAGCCTACTCGTTGAATGGCGTTAAAAAGCATGGTTAGATACACAATTCCTTTGTAAGGCAATTCTTGAAGGACTTTTTTGTCAATAAGATCATAACCAGGGGCCTTGTTGTTGTCCATTAGGTTAATATTCCTACATATCTCCTTGGGCGTTACTAACTTCAAGGGTAGATCCAGCTGAATATCTTGGTTGAGGACAGTATCGATATCAGATTCATCCGCATTTGGTCTTGGGTTATTAGGCTTAAATACATTGCTGAGATGGTTCGCAAATGCATCAGCTTTGTCTTGTTCGGTTCTAATCCAGCTTCCATTTGGATTCCGAAGCGGTGGTTTGTGGTGTAAGGGTCGATCCAAGTTTTTACTGGCTCTCCATAATGAATAGTCAGTTGCTTTAGTAGCTGTGAGGCCTCCTAAGTAGGCATCTATTGCAACACCATCTGCTTCTATTATAAGGGTTTTTAGTTCTTTAATTGCTCTGTTTAGCGCTGTTTTGTCATTTGGGTGTCTGCTAGTATGCCATATGCGCCGTAGTCTTCTTTTTTCCATGATTTTTTCCCGTATGGTTTCCGAGTATACTTTATTTTGTGGTAATCGTTCCTTAACTTCTGGTGTTGACTTCCAACAGCTTTCTTGGATTACTGAGGTGATGTTTCTTGCAGCAACGTCGATGTCTAATTCGGTTTTCAATGGTATTTTTAAGTTTATTCCATCTTCAACACATTCGCGAAATGAACACCAGTCTGTGCGCTTGTTATATAATTTGGTAGTTCTTTCGGTGTTTAACACCGTGGTGCCAATAGTTAGAATTACCGGAACATGATTAGAGTTTGCGTCTAGGCTTGTCTCTACATGGTGAAAGAGCCTGGATAGTCCCCTTACAATAAAAAAGTCTATGACATCCGGGAGTTTCTTTGGGTCTGTGGGCCAGTTAGTTGGGTCTGTTGTAGAGATTGTCCTGAGATGATTTTTGTCTATACTCTTTTTAAGCTCTCTGCCTCTTGTATTGGTAAGTCTGGAGGCCCAATGAACATTTTTGGCGTTCCAGTCACCTCCGGCTATGAAGCGGGTGCCTAGGGTGTTAAAGTAGTCATTATATTGTCCCTCATTTAGTTTATGTTTGGGAGGGCAGTAAATTGCAGATACATTAAATGCACCATTTCGATCTTCTATTGCGACTGTTGCTGCTTGTATGTGCTCAGTTTTGTATTGTGGTTGTTCGTAATGTTTGATACTAGACTTTACTACTATAGCCGCTCCAGCATGTGCAGTGCCGTCAGGCTGATCAGTGCAGTAGATGTTATAGTTCTGTATTTTAACACGACTGTTTGCAGTTGTGTGAGATTCTGGCACTAGTAGTATGTCTATGTTGTGGGTATGTAACAGAACTTCTACCTCTACCTTATTTGGAGATAGCCCCGCTGGGTTCCACGTTGCTATCTTGAGGGAGGTCATTGTGAAATCTTGGTGACTAGAGTTGTTATGAGATTGATTAACATACTCATTTGTTGTAGGATTACATCAAATTTTTCTGCTTGCTTTAAAAGCATCTCTTCTATGCTTTTTGCTTTGCTTGTTGTGGGGTCGTTCTCATCTTTGAAGGTTTTCTTAGGTTTTGTGGCTTCAGCGTAGGACTTTTGCGTGTTGTTGGACTTTGGCCGTGGTTCAGTTGGGCAGGCCGAAGGAGTGAGTCTGGTCCATTGATTTAGAAGAGATGAGTGGTTTTCCTTTTGTGGCCGTGCCTTGTCACCGGCACCTGGTTTTGGATTTTTTCGGTCCGTAATATGTGTGTTTGTCTTCCTTGCTAGTATTTCTCTATATACTTCGCACCCTTTGTAGTTTGCTGGATGCGCACCTTGACATAGGGCACATTTTGCTGGGGAGTTGCGATCCTTCTTTGGGCATTCGGATGTTTTGTGTGATAGAGCGCACTTCACGCATCGGAAGGGCCTCATGCAGTAGTTTTTAGAGTGTCCATACTGCTGGCATCTTTGACATTGCACTATTGAGGTTCGTTTTCTTGGGTCTTCTATAGTTACCGACTGATGGTGTATAAATTTAATGCTTTTTATAGCCTTGTTTTTGGGACTAGTTTGAAGATTGGCGAAGAATGTAGATGTTGGTTTCTTCTCTGGGCCATACTTTACATTTATAATCTCCCCAATCACAGTATTTCCTGTCTCTTCTAGCACTTCTTTTATCACACTGGTTGGTGTAGTATGGTGAAGATTCTTTATCACTATTCTATAGGGGCGCTTATCCTTCCTGTTAAATGTGTGTCCAATTAGTCCTCTTTTTCTAACAATGTCTATAGTTGTTTTATAAACTTCTACATTGGCGCAGTTAATCCTTAATTGATTATGGTTAATGATTTTGTATGTGAAGTCTGCTTTGTTTACTACACCCTCTAGCAGCTCAGTTAGCTTAGTAAGATCTTCAATACCATACAGGATAATGGGTGGGGGCTTTACATCCTTTTTGACAGTATCTCTATGTGTCATTGTTGTGTCTTCTTCTTGGTCTACTGGAAGTCCACTGAATGTATTGGTAGCAATTATTCTCTCAGGAGATGGAGAAGATACTTTCTTCCTTTTGGCATTTCTTAGGACTGGTGCTCTCTGCCAGGTGGGATGATTGACTTATTTATTGTCCTTAATATTATTCATCTCATTGTGCTGTGTGTTTTCAATTTGTGTTTCAATGTTAGCGTCTCTTATCGAGCTAAGTGATAAACTTCTTGGTCTAGTCTCAAATAGACCTGGATGGAAGGCTTGCTGGATTAGCTTCTTATTACTCTTGCACCCTTTAAGACCAATAGTATTTACTGGTAAGGGGGCCTGGGTACCCACCCTCTTACAGTCTTCGGTAACCAATTTCTCACTCACAGGCCCGGATACCTGTGAGCGCCGGGGGCTAGCCGGATTGCATGGCAGAACATTCTCATTATTTTCACTCATTTCATTTCGATAGATGGGGAGATAGTGGAGCGCTTTCCCAAGGTGCTACACGTCATAATTTCGGGTTGACGCCCTAGCCTTTGATGACCCAACATCTCTCTACAAGGCAGTAGGTGCTCTTTTTGTGTCGAAGTTAGCATCTTCTGATACGGTTACTATTTCGGGGTAACGCCCTAGCCTTTGTTGACTCAATATCTCTCCACAAGGCAGTGGTTGCAGTTTAGTTTTAGAGTTAGCATCTCTTAGACCAATTGCTGTTCCATCTCTGGTGAGGTGATGTCTTCGGATATTGTGTTATTTTTTGTGTCAGGGTTTTCTTCCCCTAGCCAGTTTGTTCGGTTACATGTCGTCGTTGGTGCACAAGTACACCGCTGACGGCAATCGGGCGCCGAAGACTCGCCCTCGCACTTCATACTTTGCTACTACTGGTCCCGAGGCAGATGGAGTGTGTGAAGCTCGTTACGGACCGTAGCATTGCCCAGGAGGGACGACCCACAAAGAATGATGTGTGTGGGTCCATCGCTAGTCCACGGCGGCAGACTGACAATGGCGTGGACGTGTATGAAGCACTTGTCGGTGTGCGCCTGATAGCCTAGCTTCACACCCCTAGGCGTGCGCGATTGACAACTTAGCATTTTATAGGTGCGAGTTCCCTGGCCAAGATACTCGCCCCACTAAGACTTACACCGACCCCCCCCCCCCCCCCACACAAATAGCAAAAATTAAATAAATAATTTTCCATATTCAATTATAATTAAAATTATAAAAATATTTAAAGTTAAAATATTGTAATGTAATTGGTGCAATTTTCATTTTGTTAATTGTGGGTAGGCTGTCTGTAACAACTATATCTTTAAGACATGTAACACCTCAGTCTCTCCCGTGACCATGGATGCTGTAAAGCATTCGAAACGTCGGGAAACAAAAATACAAATAAATCCGCGACAAAATCCGAAAAGATAGTTTTATTTAAAATACTAAATGTTAAGTGAAGCTTGCCACAATACATTAGTGAAAACCGCACCTAAATCGGTTAGGCTGTTTCTGAGATTTGCGCGCAGAAATACACAGGCAAACAGAAAAAAAAAATCTAAAAATCGTTATTTCGGGTTCTATTGAGTTAATAATTATCCCCAATAATAGTTTTTCTAAAATATCTTCCATGTACAGACAGCAGTCAGTTACACTTTTATTATATGTAAAGAATATAGATATTTAATTAGCTTTGATATTTATTTAACTATCTGCGACGTATCCTTATTGTTTAGGCCTCTTCTAGTTTAGAAAGCTCACGTTATTACTATGTTTTATTTGTTTTCTTTTCTATTAAGTTAGGCTGTTCTTATTCGCGGCGTATAACGACCGCGGACACGCCGGCGTTACAGTTAACAATGGATTTCTTAGAAATTTAATTAATTTCTTAGAAATTTACCTGGAGGTGTTAATAATCAGTAATCACACAAAAGTTATCCGTCAAACAACGTTCAATCTGATTAAATTTAAAAACGAAAATTATTTAACTATTTTATTCATACAACTGTAATTTTCAATTTTTAAATTCCCAAGAGGGGTTGATGTCAGGCAGGTCGTAAAACTTTGCGAAATCCTATCAACAGCACGGAAGATGTAATGCGCCGACACCAAGTAATTGGGAAAAAGGGCAGGGAGATGATGAAGTGTAATTTTTAATTTTGTTGTATTTTACGTTATAATTTTTCATCTAATTTATTATTGAAAATGAACAGCAAGTATAAATGTAAAAATTATGTTACGAATGTGTGATAAAATTAATGATTTCACAATTCCATAATTGTTATTTTATTTTTAAAATATTCAAACTAGCGAATACAATTTTAAACGTATTACCACCTGTTATTTTATATACCTGTTTTATTTTAAGATATACATATATAGTCTAACAGCCTTTGTATAATTCAAGGATCGCGTGGGCAAGCGCATTATAAAGGCGTTTAGGGAGAACCCATCGAACGAGTCCCTAGAATACGGACACGACGTGACGTTTAAGGAGTTCGCGTTGTTCCTAACAAATAATTCGAAGGAACTAGCGGATGTAGTTAATAACGAACACTGGCAGCCAATAACAAGTCTCTGTCATCCGTGCCTCATCAAATACACTTTAGTTGGTAAGTTCTTTTTGTTTTTAATTTTTATGTTAGTTTTATTGATTTTTCCCGATTATCTTGATAGGTGGGTAATGCTTTTCTAGTATAAGTATGTATATTTATTAGGCGAACTCTGTACCTCACCAATTTAATTAACGCCGTATTTACATTTGTCTTTTAAATGGTTTTCTTTTTTTTGTGTGTGTATTCACACATATTAACACAACGAACATTTTGTCCGTACCTTTTTCTGATTTATTTAGTCCTGCCATAGTACTCGTTTCGATCTGGATAACTGCCATCTACCAGGTCCAACGAGAGCTAAAAACCATCCCACGTGATTCGAAAGTGCACAAAAAAACATCAAAACCGGTCAAGCCTTTTAGAAGGAAGAATTACGGACACACACACGCGCATGCACACATAACTTGCTTGCTCAAAATAAGTAATAATTGTGATCTAATTGAAGTAATGATTTTTACATCTATATATATAATAACATTCTGAGTCAAATCTGTACATTAAATATTTTTTTGGAAAATCTTATTGAAATAGACATTATTATTGATAGAGGCCGAATCTATAGTTTTTAGAATTTTTGTCTGTCTGTCTGTCAGTCTGTCTGTTACCGCATCACAGAAAAACTACTGGACGGATTTTGATGAAATTTAGTATGGTCATAGCTGATTAGCCGGGTCAACATATAGGATAGTTTTTACCGTAGAAAAATATCTCATTTCTGAGAAATAATACAAAAACTGTAATGTAACTGTAATGAGTATACTAATATGTAAAACCTAAGAATTTGGTTTTTGGTCATCTGAACGCGGGCGGAGCCGCGGGCAATGCTAGTTAATTATAATTTTACATCATACATACTAAATATTTTTACTCTTGATACCTTATAGTAGATCTAAATAATAGACCCCAATAAGAATCGTAAAGCAATAAATATTATATATTAATTTCGCCTTGGATGTTCCGTAACGTCAGATCATAAATTATCTTGAATGCCATATTTATTTAATCATCAGTGAATACTTTTGGAGGGTTTTGTTTGAAGTTTAACTACTATTATTTTGTCAAGGTTAAAATACACGTAAATAAAATTTAAATTATCTAAATAGGTAGGTACTCGTATCTATTGTAATTCCAAAGCTCTACCCCATATTTATTTGGTAGACGGTTAATACTTTCTTAGAATTAGTATTTGACATTTTGAATAAAACTATCTACGATTTTTTTCGCGAATTTATAATGGTTACGGGAGAAACTTAAGGTTTTATACATCTCAAAGGTCATTATACAGTTGTTACACAGAACATCCCGTGATCATGATTGCTGTTCAGCATTCGAAACGTCAGGACTCAGAAATCAAAATAAATCCGGGAAAAACCGAAAAGATTTTAATTGATTTAAACGAAAATATTATAGACGGATAGAGGATAATACAGGCTGATATCAGTGATATATCCCAGAAGAGATAGCTAAAAAACAGATAACATGAGAGAATATAACTTACTTTAATAGTTTTTTCGGGTTTTTTGACTCGAGTGGGATTTAGATGACATAAAGTTTTTTATCATCGTATAACACGAGCGGAATCGCACACAAAAACTAGTTTAGTAACAAAATCTTTTAGATTGGCATGCCTTGGAGGATTTGTAACAAAGGAATTGCCTGTACATGTTTCTTAAAATAAATCTTCACACATCACTTCGCTACCCAATACGTGTTTACTTCACTGTTGTTTTATGTTTAGTATAACATATTTATAAAGCTTTGGCTTATTCTAATCATACTATATTACTTAAATTATTCAACTCAAAAACTTGTTTGCATTAATTTTTAAAATATAAATTAGTTATAACGATAGTGTAGATTTGTAAATATCTGTGAATTTTTTAGGCTCTTTCAGTATTTTTGCAGTAAATTCACTGTACAGGTTCAAAAAAAAAAACAAAACAAAACTTGTTCTCACAAAACTTGCCTTAGCTTTAGCATTTATATTAATAACTACACATATATATACTTATGTATGTGTAGATACAACTAAATTATGTATTAAACTTGAAATATTTATGTAATAACTAATAACAAAATATTTTTCTGAGAAATAAAAATTTCAAATGAATAAAAGTTATTAATTATTATGCTTTTTGTTTAAAAGTCAAGTGCGAAAACGGCGTATTTTTTACAAGGCACTATTTTTTTACAAGGTTACTCGTAATATGATTTCTTTAATCGGAGACGGGATGAATCCATGACTCTAATTCTTAAAAATTATGTATATCATTTATAATGATTTACCCTCGCTTCGCTCGAGTGCGTGCCTGGGTTCCAATTCACATTTGCCTGTGTTCCTACCAACTGAATTTCATCCAAATCCGTTCAGCCGTTTCAGCCTGAAGAAGTTATAATAATAAACATACGAACTTTCGCAATTATAATTATAGTATACTCTTATTTTATTCACGACTAGCGACTCGCTTCGCAGGGGTTCGCCGGCTTCGTCCCTAGGTTGATCCCCATACAAACTTTCATACCCATCTTCACCTCCTTAAAGGATGAATTCCGGCATAAAAACTATCCTATGTATTTCTCAGGGTCTCAAACTATCTTCTTACCAAATTTCATCAAAATCGATTCAGTAGTTTCGGAGCCTATTCAGTACAAACAAACAAACAAAAAATCAAATCTTTCCTCTTTATAATATTACCTACTATAGAAGAAACATGTAGGTAATAGGTATAAAACTAATGCTCCATCAAAACAGAAACGTGTCTTAATGTACAGTGTAGTTATAAAGCATGATGGCGCAAAAACCTATGAAAATTGTGTTTTTTTTATGGGGTTCAGCAGACAAACGAGCAGACAGACCACCTGATGGAAAGTAGGTACTACTTGACCCATGACACCTACGGTTCATGCACTTAGGTTTTATGTAACAAAAATGCTGAACCGCAGGTGCGTTGTCACTGTGAGGACTAAGATGATATGCCTCTTGCCTGTAATTGCGCTGGCTACCTTATCCTTCAAACCGGAACAACAATGTAATCATTGTTGCTTGACGAGAGAAATAGATAAGGGGGTGGTACCCATCCAGTCGGACTCCTCAGGCTTGACAGAGTCCTACCACCGGTGAAAGGTGTTTTGTGAGATATCATTTTTGTTAAAGTAAGAAGGAAAATTATTATAACATGGTATGTGACAGTCTATGGAACAACTTATTACGACTTTCTCTCACATAACTGTGGCAGTCATTTGAGATAACGTACAATTCTAGTGACAATATGACTATGTTCAATGATCTGCTTATGCCAAGTTATGCATTATAATCATTATACTGTTATTATAATTATCATCAAACATGACCAGCCTTAATAATTATGGATGTTCATAGAAAGAGGTGCATTGTGTCTTTATCATAAACTAACGACTCACCCTTGCTTCGTTCGGGTTCGTCCCGAAATACGTTTTAACGGCTAATATGGAAATATTATAACGTGTTTTCCCGTGGGAATGAGATAACATCCCGCGGTAAAAGTCCACCCTATGTCACTCTCCAGCCTACAACTATCTCCATACAAAAAATCACGCTAATCCTTCACTTTATTTCGATGCGAAAAAAGGACAAACAAACAAATACATTTTCACATTTATAATATTAATATAGATATCCACGTATAATTTTTAAAAATGCACGATAAAAGACAAATTAGTCGTGTTTTGTCATCTTCTATATTACTCTTACGATAATATTACCTTTCTATAAGAAAGTTTGTGAATGAGAAATGAAATGATAAAACAAAATTGAGCGACGAAGATAACTTATATTCTGGATAAACACATAGGCTATTTTTACCCGACTGCGGCGAAGCACAAAGGAGGGTTATTTATAAAAGCACCTACAATCTGAGTGGAGCCGCGAACAAAAAGTATAAGCATATAGGTATAAAAACAAATAAAAAGCTCTAATAGTTCTCCCTTTGAGAAGATTATTCTCTTCAAGTCTAAGGCATTAGTAGACTTAACGCTTTACAATCTAGATTCTAGACGATAGAGCTTTTAGTACATTGAAAATATAACGCCATTTTCTTTTGTATTCCATGACTACAAATTGTTATACAGCATGTTTTAAGACCAGAAATATTAAAGTTAAGAACATGATCAAGTGCGAGTAGGACTTGTGTGAAAAAAAAATTTTTTTCTATATTTTAAGGAATTTCTCTTGTATTTTCAGGAAATTAAAACGTTTCCTATTAGGGGATGAGTAGTTTCGAAGATGTTTAGAAGAATGCCTTATTTTTTTACATGTCTATGTTGTATTTTTTAATATGCGTTGAAACGCAAAGTCTAAAAAAGACGGATAGGCCATCTAACATTTTATTACTTGTAATAACGCAATATGTATTCTTCATTTAGAAATTATTTTATCATATGTAGATATATATCATTTATACATTTTCAAAGTTGCTGTAAGTTCATAACTTTTAACAGTTATAACTACTTGGAACTTAATAAAAAGTCGATATTCGTAAATTGACTAAATCTTCCTTTGACTTTAACACCAAATATCATAGCTGTTAGTCTATTACATATTACCATCCATTTTTTACTTATTTAGTTTTTGCCGTTCGGCTACTTGCGTCATAATCACTAACTGGTACCTACTCATATTTTTGTACAGTGAGCTACGATTTTTTATGTATCAATCTGAAGATTTGAATTGCTTCACAGATATTTGTTTTGGGCTTAATTCTCGCTTAAGGTTCTAGTTAATAACCTCCAACGCAAAAACGATCGTTTGTTATAAGTTTGACGTGTCTGTGTGTGACATCGTAACTCCCGAACGGATGAACCGATTTTGATTTTGTTTTTTTTTGTTTGAAAGGTGAATTAATCGGTGCCAGCCTACAATATTTTAAGACTTATGTTTTCAAATATTGGTAATTATGTATTTTACATAACGAAATATATTTATTTGATTTACTTTGCATCGGCTGGCACCGACTTCGAAA